CTCATTAAATCATGATCTACTTAAAGCCATCTGTCTATCCATCGTCTCCTTCCCTGTTCATACTATTATTCTACTCCTCTCTCGACATCAGTCATCCCTTGAAATGGGGTGAGGAAGGGAGTCGAATAGTTCAACGTTCCATGGTATACACATTCAAAAATCAAAGCACAATACTGCCCCTCCCCCAGTTATCACCTGAATAAGTTATTTCCTGAAGAACGCCCAGTGCAGACCTGCCAACCAGTACGATTTTCCTCAATAAAATACGATTTTCAAAAACAATTTTTTTTTTTTTTTTTTTTTTTTTTTTAAATTTAAACTTTAAATTGTGTGTGCCATGCAAAATGCCCATTCTGTCCTGTAAAGTATCCTACAAGCATCTCACTTCGGAAATTTGGGGATGTTCATTGGTTCATCGAACTCGCTAGTTATGACGAAATCATGCATATTCAACCAATGATCCATACAAATTTTCTCCCTGTACGTAAGAACTGTAAAAAGCACTGATCCGCGTAACATTTTTTATATTTTTTTAAGAATACAACTTTGTCAGTAAAATACAACTTTTGGGAATAAAGAATGCAGTTTTTGAACTCCAGAGGTTGGCAGGTCTGCCAGTGCACATTGAGGCCAGTTGCCCCCTCCCCGAGCCCATCCCAGCATTCCAATAACTTTTAGATTAGTCTTTGATCAACTTGTAATGTCCCCCTCCTCCCCCTCTCCATGCTGGAAGTGGATCAATGCCCCTTTGACACAATCAATAACAAGCATGAGCCAGAAAAACTTCTCCATCATTACCACCGTACTAGTTGCCCTGAAAACTGAGAACGGAACAAATCAAGAACAAAACTCTTTTCTTGTTGTTGGATCTTTGTACAAACTTTAATGAGTACCGTAAATAACGTTGTATAAACCGCCCTCGTGTATTAACCGCACCCCTCTTTTTCGCCCTTAAAAAAAAAAAAAAAAAAAAAAAAAAAAAACTTTTTTTTTGTTTTTTTTTTTGCCGAGATTTTTTTTTTGTGTGTGTAAGATCATTACGGTACTGTAAATTAAAAAACAGTAGGGACCTAGGATAGAACCTTGTGGTACACCATGTAATAGAAGAAAAATTGGAGGAATTATTATTATAAACTACATATTGAGATCTATCAGAAAGATTACTTTCAAACCAAGATGACAGACAAATTTGAGTGTTGTTCTAGTTTCCGAGTGGTGAGTCAACACACCGATTCCCGAGCTGGGAGACATTGCCAGGCATAGCGCCAGGTGGAGGGGCATAAATTGAAACTTTAAAAAAAAAAAAAAAAATTTTTTTTTTTTTTTTTTTTTTTTTTGGTGTACCGTGTATAAACCGCACCCCCGACTTTGACATTTTTTCGGCGGCAAAAAAGTGCGGTTTATACACCGTTATATACGGTAGTATACAGACATGTACATATGCCAAGAGGTTGATTGTAAAAGAATTTTACTTTCTCAGCAAAAAATACATCAATGTAGTTATTCATTCATTCATTGAAAATACATCTATAGAGAGGACCATTCACTTTTGCATGTACAGGAGAGAAGCACAGCATAAACATAAGGCTTGGAACTCCCACAAAAATAGATTTCTTTAAAACAATCAAAACTTATCCCCTTCCAATGACAATTCATTATTTCATATACATTCTTCTTACAATGCAATAAAAAAAAAAGTTAAAACTCTGCACCAGATGGCAAAAATTTGATTTCATTCAGGTAATCTATAGACAGCTATTTCATTGTATTTACCGTACTGAACAATAACTTTGATCAATACCAGAAATTTTAAACAATGTACAGGATATCAAAATTGGAATTAGTTACAGTTTTTATAATTTTCTTACAACCAAAAGACAATTTGAACTTGTTTCAACTTCAACTGGGAATACAAACAGAAAACATTGGACTTGAACACAGACTGCAATGGCAAGACCAGATGAAAATGGAAAACCTTAACAATCAATCAATGAAACATGCTCTATTTTAAATTTGGCATTTGAATTTCAAAATTGGAATACGTAATGACAAATTGGATTTCCTTTCTCACTTTTTAAATAACATTGTTTCTAGAATGAATAAAATTAAAATTCATTTTGAACATGGTAAACAAAAACTCTCCCCTGCCCCAAGAAAAAACAACAACTAGATAACAAACTCAAATGCAACTGCTCTGATAACTTGATTGCAGTATTTCTATCAATGGATTCAAGATGGGGGGGGGGGGGATCCTTTAGTAAACAAAACATGTTGACATTACGTCAACATGTAATGATACAAATGACAAGTACTCATATTTCTTTCATAATCGTAAAAATCATAACAGGATACAAGAGGCCATCTTGATGTACGATTAAAATTGATACTACATTGGCAAATGAAAAGACATGACACTATTAACAAAGATTAAATATTGGTACACTTGATACATACTAAAAAATGGGTAAAAATAATAGATTAGATAGTAGCATTGCATGTGCTATCAACCAAACACGCAAAAAGTTATTTACAATTCTAATGCATATATGATTTATTTTTGTACAATCTGTACAGTACATTACAAACTATAAAATGTCTTTTGTTTCTTCATAGATTAACTATGCACACAGACAAAGTGAGTTGTCTAGCTTCCGAGAAAATTGTTATACTACATTAAAAAGAAGGCCACGACATGAACGTTTTACAATCGCAAACAAAAATCAAGGTTTTGTGTGATCCATATTCTACTGAAGAGAATCCATAACACAATTCATTGTAACAAATGTTTTTGCCATTAATCATTTGGACTACAAACTAACATTGACAGTTGGAGTAGCTACAATCTTTAGGAATACTTTGTGCTACAAAAAATATATGCAGAAAGTTGTTCGAGATACAATATTGTCTGAATACATACATATAAAGGAGCAAATATCTGCAAATAATTGAAATTCAATATATATTTCAATCGGAGGAAGTGTGTGTGCAGACTACAACACATTCTATGATAGGAAAAGAGTGTTGAAAATCAGTCCCTTCTAATTCAGTTGACTATAGGAAATCAAATTTAAATAAATCAGCCAAAGTGGAAGCAGAAATGCAAGAGAATATATCTGTTAATCAACAAAATTATTTCATGATATCATTTACTGTACACAACTCAAAACATTCCCTTTCCTAATTTTCCTAATTGATGGAACACATTCCTTTTCTTGATAATGGTAACACATTTTTTTTTCTCCAAATCCTTGCTTGAAATTATATTGGCTCCATAATCAGAATGGAGGAAAATAAGAGTAATGAGTTTAAAATGAATTGCAAAGTCACCCGTGAATAGTGGCGCAAACTGTTGAAATTGTATCCATTTCTTATTCTTTGTCTACTCTATCTTGATCTGTGACAGATTATCTGAATTTGTTTGCTTCCACTCAGGCTGGCTCAGTCAAGAAGAGAGGTTAGTTCCTCTTTGAGTTGAGGCTTAGATGGGAAGGCATTTAGAGGTTATTTCAAGAAAAATTAATCCAAATTAATTGTATATAAAACAGAATCAATACAATTACATGCTAAAAGAGGAAGGCATTCAGAGGTTATGTCAAGAAATATTATTTCAAATAATTTGTTTAGATGACAGAATCAATACAATTGCAGGCTTAAAGTTAAAGGGGAATGCATTTAGAGGTAATTTCAAGAAAAATTCATTCAAATAAATTGTTGAGAAGACAGCATCGATACAATTACAGGCTGAATACTATGTCATCTTTTGATTAAAAATTCTACAAAGGCATGGTACAGATTGACCTTATGATTCACTGAATAGCATAGGTCTTTAAATCAATTGTATGGATAAATAAATTCATAAGACTTCCCTGAAAATTCTAATATGACTTAACAATTCTTTGAAAACATTGCTTCTCATGGACACTGAGGGATATTAATGCACATATATCTATCTGTTAATAAATAAATCTAGAATATGAATACATTAAATTAGATTGGAATACACCACATTTGTCTAAAAATTGAAAAAAAACAGAAACATTTCCGTCTTGAATACTGTAATCTTGTTGAAACAGGGAATTGAAAAACTTCAATACGCAATACAAATAATTGTTAAGTACACATCTGACCTTATCATGAATACACTAAATAACTGTGAAGGGGCCAGATAATTTTTCTCATCTCTGGCAATCAATTACAATGAAGTTTTTCATCACTCTCTGTTGACGAAAAAAATTCAGACGAAAGTAAATAAACCTATCAATGATACCCTTTTCCTTCCATTCATACATGTATAGTTACCAACTGAATTATTCATACTCCTTGTAAAGTATATGGTTTTTGTCTTTTTCCTCAATAATGAAATGTGGATTGGTTGAATTAGGGCTTTTGATGAATACTTTTAGATGTAAGCTTTAATATGTCACATTCTCAAGTAGTGCTGTAACATCACGGATATCTCCAATTCCGTTTAACCGCCTGTCAAAACCGGACGGTTTTCGGTTAAACAATTTATTTTTAAAAAAAAATAAAAAAAAAAAAAAAATCTTTTTGTTTTTTTTGTTTTTTGTTTTTTGGCCGTGTGAAAAAGCAGGAAGGTGATTTAACTGAAGGCGCCGATTTGTGCTTGTGAACTAGTCACAAATAATAGTAACAATGTCGTTTTAGAATAATGTCTAAGATCATTAAAGTAAATTAAAAACAGTAGAGGACCTAGGATAGAACCTTGTGGTACACCATGTGTTAAACTTGGATGAATATATATTGAGATCTATTACAAAGATTACTTTCAAACCAAGATGACAGACAAATTGGAGTGTTGTTCTAGTTTCCAAGTGGTAAGTCATCACACCCATTACTGAGCTGGGAGACATTGCCAGGCATAGTGCCAGGTGGAGGGGCATAAATCGAAACTTTAAAAAAAAAAAAGAAAAAAAAAAAAAAAAAAAGAAAAAAAAAAGAAAAAAAAAAGGGGAAAACGAAACCATCCAATTGAAAACGGAATCCGCCATGGGCGGTCGGATACCGGACGGTTAAACGTTTGACTACAGCACTATTCTCAAGAACCATACATCAGGACGTATCATTTGTTCACATACTTGAAAAATCACAAAAAGTTGGTGAGGGTAAGAATAATTTAGTTGTTGACTGTATACTGTACGGCTTTACGTTTGGCAGTAGTAGGAAGATTTGGCCACATTTTTAAGACTGTGCAAGGCATGTTAATATTCAAGGCTTAGTCTCATCAGGAGCTTGTTTTCTACCATGAAAGATCACCCAAAGCTGGGTTTAAGTTTGGTTTATCAGCCAGATATCGCGAAGAATAAATTAACAGTTTGGTGCAAGTTGCTTCATTTGACTGGACTGTAGACCGAGCTTTGAAATTCATTGTCACCTCAATATTCAAGTCAATACAGGCCAGGGTAAATACACAACTTGTATTCTTATTGAGATGCCATGATATATCATTTCATACCAGCTTGGTTGTGATGAAGTGCAATGTTGGTACATGAATCTCAAGGCACTGTATCTCACAAATAATAGCATCAAATTAATACATTCACTCTCAGTGGCATACTATGAAGAGTTCTGAGCCAATTATGGGTTCGAGAGCAGCGACTCGGCTACATATGATATATATTCATGAGTGCACTTAAAAGTAATTATATAACCTAAGACAAATTGATCAAGTGCAAAATAGACATATATGTTATCTTATTCAGGAAATAATTGGCACTACATGAATGCATTGAAAAGAATGGAGAAACTACCGTAACCATAAATACTGATGAGATTACTGAGCAATGAAACAACTGGGAGTCGCCACAAACAAAAAAACTTATTCATCTGAAAAAACGCAAAATACAGACAAGAAATAAACACAAATGTAGCATGACATAGCAGTAGATTCACCGACAGGGAAATGCAGGCCTACCTTAGCAACTAACTTATTCAAATCAATTGTTCAAATCTATCCCACCTCGTTGCAAGATGTCTTATTTTACCTAAAAATATGTTAAATATTTCTTCACCATAAACTATTAAATAAGATGTTGTTATTGCGTGATTACTGTCTATGAAAAAAACACTTTATTATTCACCTGAAGCACACAGTGTAAATAGCATGTAAGAATTGTTTAAAATTCCCCCCTTTTTTTTTTTAAGAAAAGAAATGAAACTGATCTTGTTTTTAAAGTTGCCTTGATGACAGTGAAATCTAACAAAATATGTATCCACACAGAAGTTTGGAATTAACAATACAGTGACTGGATAAATAAAAACAAAGTAAAAAATAAAGAGTACATCAGATCTTCACAGTGATTGAGTGGCAGCTAAAACAATTTGTCATACATTTATTTTTTCATTCTCATTCTTCTAAAAAGTACCAATACCATTTTTAGGGGAGTTCTTCTTCACCATCTTTATTATATAATGAATAACCATACAAGGCTTGAAAATGTAGCATTAGTCTTTGCAGTACCAATTTTTCGGTTATGATACATTCATGAAGGACTGTTTTGAAATCAATACCATATACCAGTGAATGAAATAAAAAGAGCAATTGTTGCTGGTTTCATGAAGCAACATATTTCCTGTATTTAGCAAAAAAGCATACATCAGTTTGCAAATCCAGTGGCATATTGATGGCAAAATAGCTTGACCCTTAGTCAACTCTGAGAATATTTTAAAAAGAAGCATGAATCCAGCATGCTTTAGAAAGAATGTAAGATTTAGTATGAACATGCATCCTATGTTGTCATCAAAAACATCAGCATCAAATACAAAAATAAATCTAAAAACTTTTCCTTATGGTAGCCTCTATGCTATACAATTGAAAACTGAATCCATTCAATTCAATGGTGAATAAATGAACTTTAAAAAAAAATGGAATACAGAGTAGCTGAGACAATCCATATTAATGACTTTAGAGAATATTGAAAAGAGAGAGGAAGAGAGAGGGAGAAAAGAAGGATTTTAATATTTCAAGCCTCTTGGGAGACTACGGTAGTTCCAGGAGTTATCAAAGTTATCCCTGCCTCGTCCTCTACCTCCTCCTCTCCCTCCTCTTCCACCTCCGCCTCCTCCTCCTCCTCGACCCATCCCTTCATCCCGATGCATCTCATCACTCTGGAGCGAGGAATTGGAGACCCCCATCGAGGCATTCCTAGACATGGGGGGCGGGGTCTGCGTCATGTGCCGGGGATCTGCAGAGAAAAAGGAAAGATACGGCATTGAAATCATCATTCATCTGTGAAATTAAATAGATTCCATGCACAAAGAAACCTCCTCACTTCTTTACCAAAGCATCAAAGTTTATCAAAACACTATTTTCAAATACGCATCCATTTTTTTATCAATTCATCCTACTGTTTTATAAAAATATTAATTAGATATCACTTATTTGAACAATACACTGCTACATATATATAAAAAATATTGTATGTTTTTCACTCCACAATGCAACGCATGGTATAAAGTGATGTTTGAAAATATTGCATGAGTTATGATTTGGGAAAAATTTATGTCATGTGTGATAGCCGGAAAATGATATAGGATTGTCCCAAACAATATTTTTCCAGAACCACTATTCCAAGACATAGATTTTCATGGGTTTACTGGTCCAACAACCCACTTTACATTAAACTATTCAAAATTTTAACCAGTTCTTCTCTCTCTAAACAGGAAGAAAGGAGGGGGTATATATAAATATATAAAATATATATATATATATATATATATATATATATATATATATATATAACTAGAGAACCTTTGATGACTTTGACTAGATGTGACTAAAACTCATCTACTCTACAAGGTATTTAAAAAGATACCCAATCGACCATGTGAATGTGCTTTTTGGGAGGTGTGTGAACTATGACCCTTAAAATATTTACACTGTTGGTCATAATGATGGAATATTTATTTTTACCCCAGTTTAGGGAAGGATTTGAAAAAATTATTTATTTCTAATAGATCTAGATAATGGCATACATTCTCAGATTTTATTGAATATTAATTTGCGAGTGTTTGTTTTGCGTGACTGCTTAATCATATGTGTTCTTCTATGCTAATCAGATAAGGGACCTACGTCCTTAAGTCATAATTGACAGTAATGAGGATTAGTGCCTCACAAAAGGGCACTACTATATAGCTGATCGACACGATTTTTATCCTGGGGCCTCACAGTAACGAGGCCATTGCTTAGCCCCTGAATCATGACTGTACGCAGTGTTTGCTAGGGTACGCGGCCCCTTCCACAAATCCCCCAAAACGAAGAAAATGCAATAAATTGTCAAAAATTCATTGCATTTCCCCCCGGCCCCCAACAGAAAATAATATTCGGTAGGGCCGTGCATTATGGTTCAAGGCATGGCCACATAGAGGAATTTTTCCTGTTGGGGGCCGGGGGGAAATGCAATGAATTTTTGACAATTTATTGCATTTTCTTCGTTTGGGGGGATTTGTGGAAGGGGCCGCGTACCCTAGCAAACACTGCGTAAAGTCATGATTCAGGGGCTAAGCAATGGCCTTGTTACTGTGAGGCCCCAGGATAAAAAATCGTGTCGATCAGCTATATTAGTGCCCTTTTGTGAGGCATTAATCCTCATTACTGTCAATTATGATTTAAGGACGTAGGTTCCCTAGCTGATTAGCATAGTAGCACACATATGATTTAGCAGTCACGCAAAAACAAACACTCGCAAATTAATATTCAATAAAATCTGAGAATGTATGCCATTATCTAGATCTATTAGAAATAAATAATTTTTTCAAATCCTTCCCTAAACTGGGGTAAAAATAAATATTCCATCATTATGACCAACAGTGTATTAACCCTTACTGTACTGGGGGGGGGGGCCTGGGAGGCCCCCCCCCTCGACATTTTCGGAGTTTGCGCCGCAACCGCTTGGAATTTTGAATTGTCGTTTCATGACTTTTTTCCCTCAAGTCTTACGCACATTTTGATACCATTTTCGTCGAAATTGGATATACCTGTAAGGCGCTACATAACAATTAGTATGCGCATGTCATCAAAAAAAAAAAAAAAAAAAAAAAAATTGCATCAAAATTTGCATAAATTATCATTATTAATTACATTAAATTAACTTTTTTGTCTTAGAAAAGAAGTTTCATATGAATAATGAGTTTCAACATCCAAAAAGTGGAGTTTGACATGTTTTCTGTAAAATGCATAAAATTAGCATTTTTGCATAATTAATTAGGCTAACAACAAAAATTTGCATATTCGGAAAAAACTAATTATACCATCTTGTTCCTTACGTAAATATCTACAAACATGCAAATTTTCGTGTTCATCGGACAATCGACGGCCGAGATCATAGGGGGGGGCCTCCCAGGCCCCCCCCCCCCCCCCCCCAGTCAGCGGGTGCTCAAAATAGCCCAGTACAGTAAGGGTTAAGATATATGTTTCATGCAAGAAGGCATCAGATACAAAACCCAAACTTGGAATAAAAAGATTTACATGTTATCCAGCATTCCTTTCCGACAACTTAAAAATCCACTACAACATACATGCATACCATGAGACCGAAGTGATGCATGCATACATGTACATGATTTTCATAAGAATACTAGAAATATTAAATGGAATTGTCAAATGTCATGCCATTGAATCCTAATCCTAAAAAATTAACTAAAGAAGGGAGAAAAATCTGCTTCTAAACTATATCATATATTCTTTTCTTCATTGAATGCAACAATTTTGCATGGACCCTTAGGAGAGAGAGAGAGAGAGAGAGAGAGAGAGAGGGGGGAGTGAGAGTGAGAGTGAGAGAAAGAGAGAGAGAAAAAAAGAGAGAGAGATAGATGAAGCATAATGATAGAATTCTGTAAAGATTACAAGATGTGAACATGGGCTCTATGAAATATGTTTCAGGTATTTACTATAAAGATGAAGAAAATTAATTTGAAATAGAAGTAAAACTTTATTCAATGTTCTGTGATGAATTATGTTATAATCAGATAGATGTTATCAAGAATAATAATAACGTAAATTATATAGTACAGACAATAGATTAAGTAATTAAGACGTAATTTACATAAGCAACAAAAAAAAAATAAAACAAAGAGAGAAAAAAGAGTCACAATTAGCAGGAAAGAGGTAGAAATAATCAAGGAGAAAGACACCATTGAAGTTATATAAAGTGCAGAATTACATGTATATAAAAGTGCTTTAAACGTATAGACAGAAATAACCGTTGGCATGCACTAATACAAGTGCCACATAAAACTGACCTAGCCGATGTACAAAACTGAATGAATAGGTTGTGCAAACATGAATATATAAATATATATACTATGGTATTATTACTGGTTAGACCATTATCTAAAACAAAAATCTTATTGTATTTAAAAGTAAATGCAGTGAATATGATCTCACAGACCCATAGATATAACATGCACAATACATTTACAAAGTTTGGAATGTAGTCAGAAGTTACTGCTCTCTGATACATGTATATGTAAAGATTTGATAGTGACAAGATGTGGAGTTTTGATCGTATGTATACTCCCTATTACTCACGATAGGTGCAGTAGCGATCGGCAAAACGATAGCCTGTTTGATTTGCAACATTTAAAAACAAGACAGAAGTTTTGAAAGTCAGACGCTTACAAGTTACTACAGATTGCAAGTACACATACATTGAGGACAATTTGAGGAAAAGAGAGCATCAAGAAAACTCGAGTACAATTCATTTGGAAGTTATAAGAAGAACATGGTTGTTTAAACATATTTGTGGCTTACACCCAGTAAATAAAGATCGATTGATTGATGTGTAATTGAAAACAAGCCAGAACAAATCTTGGAACCAGCGGGATTTGGACCTGGGTGTAAGCCACAAATATGTTTAAACAATTGAAATTTCTCCCAGGAAGCGTTACATTTGAAAAATAGAACATAATTATTAGTGAAGGCCAGAAGACATTAATACATTTGAAACAACAAATTTAGCATTTTTCCTTCAATGAAAATAAGATTCATCAATAATTTCATAAATTGATTTTTTTTTTAAGCATCTCGTATAATGGTTGAGGAAGGGGATTTAACATTAAGAATAGTTCAGAGGCATTCTATTTCCTTCTTTTTTTATTCAAAAATTAAAAATATAACTAACAAAACACTGTACAACAGATAATAGCTTAGATATCTATTTGTGATTATCATGGGGAAAACAAAATTTCATTACTATTTCATTGAAGGAAAAAGAGGCATAACAACAATGTACTTCTTAGTGGCAAACACTAAGCATTGACAATAAAGCTCATGAAAAATGATTCTGTGCACAAATGAACAGATGAAATTTAATACAGAAATATGAGGCCTAGAGAGAGATGTATATCAAAGTGACCGAATAAAAGAAAAGTCAACTTTAAATCTTTTCAAAAGAATTTTAGGATTTACGCAACTCGCATAATAGAAAATGATAAAATGAGACACCTTATTTTACACAATACATGACTCAAAAAAGGAAACATCTTGAGAAAAATTCAAAACAGCTGGACAAAATTGGGAAAATTCTAAATTGCTGGACAGTCGCTCATTTAAAATACAATTTTTTTCACACTGATTTTCAAAGGACTGATATAACCAAAAGAACTGAGAAATGGCTTCTTACAAATTAGCTCCTTTGTCTTTTTGAAAAATGTTGGGAAAGAATATCCAGTACATTGTTTGTGTTAGTTTACATATATCACTTTAATAGAAACAATCATGTTTATTTTCTTTGCAATGGCATTACAAATATTTTGTAGGAAACCTTGTAGGAAATCTCTACAGATAAATATGGGCATGTTCTTGTCACCGTAAAATACTTCAAATACCAGGGGGTGTTTCACAAAAATCCTTAACTCTAAGTTGGACTTAAACATTATTGTAACCTTAAAAAAAAATATATTCAAAAGCAAAAATTCAAGTACTTAAGACTTTTCATATATTCCACATCAAGAACATGAAATCTCCTTGATGATAGAAAATATGAATGATTTGAATCAACATTTTATGCCTTTTAAAGTAACTTACACAAAGTATTTCCATACACAGCTTTCCATAATTGTTAAGTCCAACTTAGAGATAAGTTCAACTTAGGATCTTTGTGAAACACCCCCAGGACTAAGATAGAGTCTAAAGTAAAACTACACCATTTAAACTAAGAACCCGGTAAAATATTTCATCCTAAAAGTTTTCAAATTTTCCCACAATGTTTTCTTCACACTTTTTCCTCAATAGCCATCATTAACAAAGTAATTAAAAGCAATTCAAATGACTTTCTCTCCTGCAATTTTGATGGATCACCAAATCAAATCTGATTTACCAATGCAAATATGAACTAATATGGAATGTTATTAATGATATTTAATTAAATCATCTAGATGAGAAACGCATTACTCTCAATAATCAAACCATTCTTATCTGTGTTAATTAGATGTGTTATAATAACTAGAAAGCAAAGGAATCTTACCCATTGAAGCTGATTGGTAGGACCTACGTAGCACCAACGTGATAGTATCTCCCCCGTTACGGATAGCGATAATAGCGTCACTGTGTAGCATTCCTTCTGTACTCTGACTATTGATTTCTATAAGCTCGTCTCCGACCTGGTATGAAAAAAGAGGAAAAACAGGTTCTCTCACATTGACACCAGTTCTCATTGTTTTCGTTCCAACAATCTAGCTATCTAAGTATCTTCTCCCGGTTTGGAGGTTGATTGCAACATCTCTCCATTTCACTCTATCTTCTGCCATTCTGGTGCACTCTTGCAGTTTTAGTCCTCTCCAGTTCTTGACATTCTCTTTCCAGTTGATTCTGGGTCCCCCTCTTGGTCTAGTTCCTTCCATTCTTCCCTCTCTTTCTCTCTCCCTCCCTCCTTCCCTGTTTACCGAAAGCAGTTTTAACTCAATTTGCAGTTACTGTTGTCATTCTTATATCACATTGAGTTATTATACAAATATTTAAAAAAAAAAAAAAAATCATCAACAAATCTTACCCTCATAAGAATACTTTGTGCTGCAGGTCCACCATCAGCCATCCTGAGTACAAAGAGAGGGGTGTTGTCATATTCCCTTCCTCCTCTGATGCTAAAGCCGAAGCCTGTTGTCCCCTTCTTGAGGTCCACATTATAATAGTCACCTGGCTGGAGTTCGTTGCGCTGGTAGTGGTCAAAGAGAAAAGTATTTGAAGATTTGATCTACTCGTAAATCGGGGAGAGCAATGATCGTCCACATAAAGCCATATCACAAATTAAGGAATTTTCCAAATGAAAATCCTATACAACATAGTTTATGAGCCACAGCAGATTATATTCTCAATACACAGGGCTATCAAACTATTCACAAGGTATGAAACACATCCAAGGGCTTCATACAAACTTTTTAAACAGGGGTCAGGACAGGAACATTGCCCCATGTTCAAAATTGGGTGGTGGTCCCGGTTAAAATTTGGGGGCCTATGTGTGCTGATAAGTGAAAAGCCAAGCCTAATTTATTTTTAAAGATACTTATTTCTCTGATGGAAAGTCAGGTATGAGAAGTAAAATAGTTGGCATGGTTTATATCTCTACATAGATTGTAAATCTTCATTACTGGAAAGGTTATTGCATTTCAAATACTTTCATTACCTTAGGTGGATACATGAGTTGCTTGCCCTGTTGTGGAGCTGGTCTCCCTGGTTCTCTATACCCTCTCCTATCCATCCTTGGCGAGACAGGATTACTGGACGGTGGGCCTCGATACCTCCTGTCCTGAGGGGGAGACAACGGATGGGTGCGCTGTGGCTCATAGCTCCTCCGCCCTGCATGGGGTGACTTGGGGTGCTGCTGGGGGCCCCACCCGGCATCTTGGTTGTTGGGCGGGGGCGGCTGCTGCTGCTGCCTGGGGATTCCCCTCATGGGTTTGCCCATGGGTGGGGAGATGGGGCGTTGCGGGGCGTCGTGGTAGGTCATGCTCTGGGGAGGGGCTGATGGGGGTCTGGTGGGCTGGGTGCGTATTCTGTCAGGTTCTGTCTTCCACTTTGAGGACTTGGCATAGATGGGATCTGATGGCTTGCTGCAGCAGAGAATAAACAAATAGGGTACATTTAACCAAATAGGGTACTGTTTGACTATCATTGCAGACTTCTGAGTATCATAACTTTCAGTAAAACAGCTCTAATATAATTGGTGTCTGATGAGGGTTCTGTTGGCTTGTTGCAGCAGAGAATAAACAAATAGGGTACATTTAACCAAATAGGGTACATTTAACCAAATAGGGTACTATTTGACTATTATTGCAGACTTCTGAGTATCATAACTTAGGAGTAAAACAGTTCTAATATAATTGATGTCTGATGATTCGACTTAAGAGGAAATGTGCATTAATCGTATCTATAACTCTATAAACATGGCAGGCTTTATAGCCTAAAAATTGTAATCAAATACAATATTAATTGCACCTTTCAAAAAACCAGGAAAAAAATGTAAGAAATAACCAAATACATACAAAGACAGAGATGTCGGTCGTTTCTTATAAAGATTTCCCTGTAATTTACATTCAATTGAAACTTCTATTCCATGGGGCCTTTCCCAATAATATGACCGTAACAAAATACTTACTTATCAGTTGGTGGAGGTGGTTGAATATGATTAGTCATGGGTTGTCCAGGAGGTGACCTCATGCTTCCGTCGCTACCTTTGATCTGAGCAGGCATGGCAAGAGCGTTCACCATATGACCAACGTTCTACAAACATGACAAAGAATGAGAATAGGCTATCATATTATCAACATTTCTACTAATGTTGTTGTCATGTCGTTTGGAGTAATATAATTAAAGAACAAGTCGTCATATCAACATAAAATAACAAAATATACATAACATTTGACAAGAGATAAAAATATTTACAGATTACTGTAAGGCTTATGACTTGTCTTATATTTATCTGATCACAATTTGTTCTCTTTTCTGTTTACACTCAATTTAACTAATCTCCATGTCACATGAAACTAAATTTAAGCTCCCAAATCCCAAAAGTTCTCAATATTTTACACTCAGTTCAGTTTAATTATCAGCTGAATACATTGAACTATCATGACTTTGAATACATCACTTTGCTAATGCTTCTATTAAAGCCAGGGAAAGAACCAGGGCCCTGTTCCATGATACTTGTTATCAATAACAAATGCTAAATTTCTATGACAAGTTTGCTCTCAGCCAATCAAATGCCACTATTTCAGTAGCTTATAACAGTTATTGTATCTTGTTACTGGTACCAAGTTTTATGAAACAGGTCCCTGGATATAAGATTGAATGACACCATGGTCAATCCAGACATACCTTGGGTGGTGGATTTCTGCTCAGAGGATCATCCCCACCTAAAGAAAGAACAAGGAAATAATCAAAAGATTAAGCATAATAAACAAAACAAAATGGTTTAGCAATAAAAACCTAAATACAGGTAGATATACCATGAACATGACAGGAAGCTGCATTTTTATAGGATCTAGGATATGTCATTGTGTGTAAGACGATTTTAAATATATATATTATGATAGCATGAACATTTATGATATCTGATATTAACAGGAATGTGAATGAACACAAGAATAATGAAATAGACCATCGAACGTGAGAAAGAAGGAAAATAATGAACTAAAGTGACAGAAAAGGTACTGCTAGCCAGAAATATATTAAAGTTTTAAAAAAATAGGAAAAATACAATTGTATGGGGTATATATGTAGAAAAGACAATCATGCTCCAAGTAAAACAATGACATGAAAATCACAAATATTTAACCACATGATTCTTGTACAGCAACATCCATCTAAATTTATGTTTTATTCCCCTCCCTCAGCTCCATCAACAAAACTGATTCATCGAAGCAGAAAGTAATTTCACAATACCACTGTTTTCTCTTAGATATCAGGATAATTATTGAACATGTAATCGGATTTCTCAATACAACAAGAGGTAAACATATGGATTACAATGACTACGTACAAACAAAAGGTGGAAATTCACTCAATTTTCTTTAGAAGACAGGATAAGGCATGCATGATTAATATTATTATCTTTCAAGAGACAATTAATGGAAATATACACAGGAGGGTACACAAATGTTTGTGCATTTGAGGTAAATATGTGCAAGGTAAGAGTAAGATCTATTAGATTCTAAAGATATATCGTAAGGTTTATATTTTATTTGTACAGTCAAACCTGCTTTAGTGACCACCTGTCTACAAAGACCACATTTTTTGTTTCCCTTGAAAATGGTTTCTCATTGAAACATGTACTAAAGCAACCTGTCTACAAAGACCACCTGTCTACAAAGACCACTTTTTGTGTTTCCCTTGGGCGGTCGCTATAGACAGGTTTGACTGTATATGAGCTAGGATGAAGATGGAAGGTGCATAGCGAGTAGCGCCCCCTACCTCTAGACCCGATGGTTAGTGTGACAGTAGTGCCTGTATCTTTGATCATGTTGACGATGTCTTTGTGATGCATACTCCGGATGTCTATTCCGTTGATGGAGACGATGCGATCACCGACCTCCAGGTCACGACACCTGTCTGCCGGGCTGCCATCTATGATACGGCCTACAAGGGCAACCAATCAGGGGGGGTTTTAGATGTTAGAGGGGTTACAGAGGTTATCAACATACATGGTTGGTTGGTTACAGAAGCTGCTTCAAATACTGTGGCCACAATGGAGTTTATTAATGTGGAAATAAAACCATAGACCTTTTTTCTAAAATAATAGTTTTCTTTGTGATAACATTGTTTTTTGTTATAAATTGATAAATTGAAGTATAGATGAAATACGAAAAATGCCATAAAATTTGGAAATAGCCCCCAATATTTGGGTTTAAAAGTGTAAACACCTTTAATATTCTAATGTAAATTTTTTCATTGATGCTAAGAAAAAAAGACTATCTTTCTTATCATCATTTGGCAATCAAATTTCAATGTTAGCATTACATTTGCTGTTTGTTGAACAAAGATCTACTCGATCATTATTTTTTAAGAAAAAGATTTGAATAATCAATCAAGCTTTCTGATAACAATTGAGTCATATTTTCATATAAAATTGATATATACATTTTCATTGTGACAGTCACTATTAAGTATTACAGTTGTAAAATAGAAATTCACACCATGCACTATACAATTATGAAAATCATAGGTTAATATTGATTTCAAGTCATGCAAAAGGTTATAAAACTACATAAGGAATATACTTGGAACAAAAATGATTATTACAACAAATATTACAATTACCCAGGGGTGTAAATTAAGTACATGTTGAATCTATAAAAGAAATTTCTTCATCATAAATCACAAAGCATAACTACATGGGACGTGGATGGATTCACTTTGGACATATACTAGTACAACTACATGATTATTTTCAAAACATGGTCCTGATAACATTCAAACATTAATATATTTTTTTTAAAGAGATTATTTCATAATTTAGTTCTGAAATATGCAATTAATTGTGCAGTTTGATGTATACATTCTTAAGATTTAGTCCAAAATGGCCTTTAATCTGTTGATTATAAGGAATCTATAGAACTTGGGTGTTACTCAAAAATTAAATCAGATCGAAAGGGGTAATTTCTGCTGAAAATAACACACCTCTATTTTCAGTTATCTTTTAAACTGGCAAATTATTGAATTATCACAATGATGGCTTGTTGATCTTTACACCAAAACAGAAAACCACCATTTTCTTCTTTTCTCAAGACTTTTACTTGTAGGTTTGAGTACGTTCCTAATAACCAGTTTTCTGTTTACACTTTCAACTTTGTCTGACATCCTATACTTCCTCATACAACCACCAGCATCCAAACAACATCTTAGATTTGTTTTTCCCTACCAATATTAGATCCAGACTTGAGAGTAGAAGAGAGCACCACCAATCCAAATCCTTCATTCTCTCGTCGAAGGAGCTTGACATCATAAGGGTATCTTCTGTTGCTGTTAGCGGGTGAAGCAGGACTGAGGGGACGGGAGGCTGGCCGTGACCCCCCTCCTCCTCCACCTCCTCCACTTGGCTGGTTTAGACCTGGAGTAGAAACATATCATTCATTTAAATGTCTCGAGTATTCAGTGATAAGTGAGACACCAAACTCAAATGACAGGTTTAGAAAATCATTTTCTAAGAATAAATCATGATTCTATCAACAAGTTTAAGAATACAAGATGTGATGTAATATATGATTTGTTCCAGATATCTAAGAGCGGATGAAAGAATCCCAGCATGAATTTTATAAATGTATCCCTTTTCTAATTCTATTATTTAGATGATGGTAATTGTGACATGATAAATTAACAACAAGAAATTCCATTACTGATAGTTCCACTACTGTATGCAAAATGACATCCTACTAGTTCTAAATCCAGAAAGATATAATCATAATCATAATATGAGTAAATAGAATGCCTCATCATCATTGTTTACAATTCGCCAAAGTATTGAAAGACTTTTTGCCGTCGTTATTTAATAGACATTTACTCGTTGATGTGTCTTGCCAAATGAAAGATGCACAAGAGGAATGGCTTTAGTTTTATATTCAATTCTCACAAACTCCAAAGTAGCAAAATATTTCTTCTTTATACCCAGATATTACAATCATCTACTGACCTGCCACTCTCCTCCTGATCCCCAAAGAGACCCGTCCAGCTCGACCGGCCGCAATCATCAAGGTGACCACCCTCTTGTGAGAGGAGCCGACAGTGGTCTGACCGTCCACGTAGAGTAGTTCATCGCCGGTCAGTAACCTACCATCCTGGGCAGCAACTCCACCTGCAGTGATAGCTCCAATGGATACCTACAAGAGGACAGAGACATTTCAAGATGATTAAGAGTTTGGGCCAAAATGCAATCGTGCAATCAATAATTATCGTTTGATTTCAGAACATTTGGGGATCAGGGCACCATATTGCAACACAAATTAATCTGCATTCATTCATTCATTCACAGGCGGTTCCAAGAAATGCACCTCTTTTGTCCTACAAATCTAGAACTTTTTAAGGTGCATGACTTACCTGTGACCCTTCCTCATGTCCCCCGATGATCCTGAAACCAAAGCCAGCGTCATCTCTCGTCTTGAGGAACACGGTGGATTCAATGAACTTATCATCTCGCTCGCTACCGGATGATGGATGCCTGGGTCTTGATGAACTCCTCCTTTCATTCTCTTGTCCTGATGAAAAGAGAGAAAGATACATCAAAATCATCATCATTATTATCATCGTCATCATAATCAACATCATAATCATCATCATATTAATCGTCCTCATTATCATCATTATCATCATAATCATATTAATGGTCCTCATTATCATCATAATCATATTAATGGTCCTCATTATCATCATAATCATATTAATGGTCCTCATTATCATCATAATCATATTAATGGTCCTCATTATCATCATAATCATATTAATGGTCCTCATTATCATTGTAATCATATTAATCGTCCTCATTGTCATCATCATTTTATTGCCATCAACATCATCTCTATGACCTACCACCCACCAACCAATCACCATAACTACCACCATCATTATTCAAAGATGCCAGTTAGAATTGGTCAGAGGGCCTGAAATTCATCAAGATTTAGCTATATTACACAAAAAGGCCAAAACTATGGCCTGAAAATAAATCGCAAGGGCCTGAAAACCGGCATCCCTGATAATTATCATGATGTTATCAACTATCATGTTCATTTGTTACAATTCAGAATGAAGACAGAATGAAGACATGTTGAAACATCCTTAAAATGAACAATTTTCACAAGCAAGATAATACCATCACTTTTGTCCATTTGTAAATATGTTGTAAGGGATGAAAAAATGGAAAATGAGCTAAGTGACTTACTTCTCCTGTCATCAGGTGGTCGTCTTTGTCTATCTCCTGGTCCTTGTCTCCTCATATCAGGGCTCCAGTCTGCTTCTGATGGCTCCCTACTCGGATCCCTACTCGGATCCCTGCTATACCCAGACTCACTGGGTCTCCCTCTCCTCTCCTGCTCCACGTGCATCGGCTCCACACCACCCCTCTTGGGAGGGTCTGGAGGTCTCCTGCGGTCCAGCGACCCACTCCAGTCTCCATTCATGTAGCGCCCTCCTTGGTCAGGTCGACTGCTCTGCGGCCGAGGGATGTTCTCTGAATGCAGCCTATCGCCTGACCGCCTATCAAGCTCTGCTCGACTGTGAGGGCGGTCTGCCGTCCGGTGCGGAACCCGCTTAGGATCATGCCAGTCGCGTCCCCTGTGCCGATCTTTATTGCTGTTAAAGTTCTCTACTTCCCAGTCAGGATGTGATCGGTCATGAATACTGTGTTTGTCCGACCCATTGTCCATATCTAAATTGTTCTGTAATCTTTCATTGTCTCCATTCACCGGCTTCCTATCGTGTATATCATGAACATCAGGGGGCGGTTTTTTCTTCAGTTTATTCTTCATTTCGTCTACAAGAATATCAGTTTTCCTTTTTTGATCAGAATCTACACTTGCTCTATCTTCTTCTCCATCTAGAAATAAAGAGACAAAAATGCATCATGGAAAATAAATGTATATCTGTAAGTGACCCACAAAAGTTTTTTTTTTCCTCATCATTTCTTTCCTACAATATCTGAAGGACTATTTTTGTTTTCATGACTTCTTGACATCTCCTAAATCATACTGCCATGTATACTCCTTTCAACTTGTTTCTTCAAATCAAGATTGAAATCATGACATCAAAAATGCTAAATGCATTGCCTCTTCACCATATAAAGCAAACTACAAAATATATAAAATATATCTTCTTGGGAGATGTATCTTGGAGACATTCCTGACTACTTATCAAATCAAAGATCTCCATCCAATGATAAGAAAGACTAGGTATATAAACCTGAACAGTGAGAGTTTCTTTCAGAGTCAAGATTACCCTATGACCCACAAGGGTGGGGCAAGAATTCAAACTCTTTCTTGGCAACAGTCAAAAAGAAAATGTTTTGATATCGACTTATCCTGACAGCCTTACACAAAAATAAAGACCATTTTAATATAAAATACATATACATATAGTATGAGAGTGTAGAGCTCTTGTGTCTGGTATTAAAGAATTTTCAGAAGTACTCGTGCTCAAAGAATGAACAAGATAAATAAAATAGAGAAGGTCTAAATGTAACATTTGACTCACCATCTTGCCTGCTGCCATTCAAGTCACCAAATCTCTCCTCCTCTCGTTTCTTCTCCTCTGGGGACAATGTCTGAATAAAGACAAGCAACAATACAAAATAATAAGGAACTATCCCTTAGGATCGCTCAGAAATGGTCCAGTGTTAAAAGATGGAGGGATCGGAGCTGATGTGCAGAGTTCTGTATTCCAGTTCTCCTATAAAGGCATCAATAGAGGTGGTTGCAGCTACATGTAACAATGTAAACCAAGGCTACATGCCTATGACACAGACCTTGTACAGACTGTTCATCAAATTGTGTGGAGCACACATCATGATCAGCAAAACAAGGGAGGGGTCGATGTGTAACACATATCAAAACTGCATAAAACAAATATAATCATCCTGACGGAAAACTATATATCATATCCTCAGGCTCGTTTCTTTCCTTTAGTCAGATAGAATGGTCATCCCAGTCCTGCTAACAGAAAACAAAGTCATCAACTGATGATTCAATTTAGTTGATTTCTCATTTCTTTCCTATTGCTGCATTGCCTCCAGCAGCCTCCTCCTATCATGGCAGTCAATAATAATATGCAGATTTCTGATATGATTCGCTCCAGTCTGCAATCAATATCACACCTCACAAGTCACAAAGAGCTCCAATTTGGCAGATTAGACAAGTAGAATACAAGCCTTTTCCTGTTATGGTATTGTGACATTTATCATCACCTGCACCCAGTTCTATAATGTACATCACCACCACCACCGACGAGCACTGTATCCCTATCATCAACGACCACATCACCTATGTATGAGCAATGCGTATCTCATTCTACAATCATTCTACAATATGGATTGAATGGTATTGATCTATCCTTGAGGTGAAACAATCAATGCATGTTCATGGCCACATGAATTAGCTCACGGTGTAAACATGGTGAAGTCTGATACACCTGAAGTGAAGGACAGACGTGCTTCACTCTAGACGATGCACTCGCTCGCTATCTGACTAACGAGCACTTTGTTTATTATACGAATTATCAATACTGATTGAAAGTGCAAAGACCCTTTTCTTATTTTGAAAAGGGAAGGTCAGACACAATCAGATACATTTGCATTTCATAGGACTAGCCAACATGAACATCTTTTTATAGATGTAATCAATATTATATATATATATATATATATATATATATATATTTATAATTATAAAGCAACTCAAAGTAAACATATATGACAGTAAAGAAAATTATACAATACTACACAGTACATACCAACTTACATGTATGTATCAGAAAAAGACGGTTTCGTCTACATTTCGAAAGTGACAATCATGTACTGGCTCAAATTCAGAAGTAAAGCAGTGAAGAAATACTATCAATACTACACAGAGCACACCACTTCTGAGAGAAAAAAAATGACAAAAGATGGCTATTTCCTACATTTCACAAATAACATACTGGCTTGAAGTCAGGAATGTCAAATTTTCAAGTGGATGCTTTGCTGTTGCAATGTAAAGTAATAAGTGGCATCAACATGGCAAGACCGACAATGTGAAGTGGATTGTTAGGAGCTTGATCCAAGAGTCCTTCACATGCCTACCACAGTATATCCTGTCTGGTCTGGTGCTGAGAGGACAAAGCACACCTTGTCTTTAAATCTAAGACCTGGAAGCTGGCCGGTGGAGAAAGGAAGGAAGCATCCAGGCAGGTATAAGCAGGATGATTGGTGGTAGTGAATTCTGGTGATAAACAGTGTTCTATAGCTAGCCATGGTCCCATAAATTGGGTTGTGTTTATTACTATATGTCTCCTTACAGATGAAAGGACATAAATCATGAATGGTTCTTAATGAACCAAAATAGAAGGCAACATATGGATGGTGGCTTACTGTACATATCAATGGTTACCCACCCCCCCCCCCCCCCCTGGAAAAAAAGAGGGGGAAAAAGAAAGAAAAATCTTTCCTTGCCCACTTCTTGCAGCCTTGATAAACCATAATATGAAGACAAAAAAGATAACACCTAAATCTATTTGTCCCTTTCTTTTCTTTTCCCGATGTATTTATAAAATAGCAACAGATTTAATGTACTTACATCACTTGATGTTGATATGTACATGCAATTTTAACATTTATACTTAATTTTCTCTATTGTATCAAGATCATAGATTTTTAAAGACCGTGACATTAACTTTTACTTAATAACAGAAAATTATTTTCATAAACAGTTTCAAATGTTCTCAAATACATCTACAGTAATTCATAGTGAAAATTGGGGAAGTGTCTGAGTTGACTACCAGGGGAAAACTCTCAAAACTGTTTCAAATTTCAAAACATTTCCATAAAACCAATGCTATAAATCATGTATTTAGCGATGCAAGGAGAACCTCGTAAATAAAGCCCATTAAAGCAAATGCATGCACTTGCCTTCTAAAATTGGAAACATTTGTCTATCTTCCCCATCTGGCATTCAAAGTTTCTTGAACCAAAAATCTGTTTTCTTCCTTCATATTTCTTAATCTTATCAAGTTTGAAATTCACCTGCTCCATTTGAGGAGTGGTGAAAGACTACACCTCAGGGTTCTTTATTTCCATATGAAGCTGGTCAGATCAGGTTATATTATCATGTTGAGAAAAAAAACATATGACCTGGTAAACAGAGAGACAGACATACACACATGGCTCCATTACACCTGGTTTACATTACAAACAGTTCCCACTGCAGACCTTTACTTGTTATTTATCGGAATAGTACAGTTAACACTGCCACATATTAGAGTAAGGGGGAGGGGTTTACATTTGCTCCAATGAAACACATCCTTGAGGATTTTTTAAATGTTTTTTTCCCTTCTTTTTAGGCCATAAATTTTTCCTTTCTGTCAAACATTTCTGCAGTGCTAGCCATTTTTCCCCTCTATGTTGAACATACGAATATGAAGTGACATAACTTTGTAGATATACATTGTTTATTATTTCAATAATACTTTCAGGAGGTCTACCAACAGGACTGATCCTTAACTGATTATCAGGTAGTATTAAGTTAATGAATATTTAGTGAGTTAATTATTGTCATACATATTGTGTATCCTAATCTTTCTTTCAAATATATGATAAGTAGTATTACCCTTGTACTGCCAAGTTCAAATTATGTAAAAATGAATGGATAAAACCTGATGGTACTGAATGTCACCTCAAAGAGATCAAAGTAAAAATCAATATGCTTTTCCAATTACATGTAGGGCCCACAAGCATACCAAAAATGCAAAACAAATTAAAATATGATACTTTTCATGAGACTACAGTTTTAAACCTCAAATATGTCTGTATGTAATAATAATAGAAATTACCTCCATCAAATTTGAAAATTCACTACCTGAAGCTTAAGATTTCAGCAATAAGTACATGTACATGAAATACATTTCTTATACATTCATTTACAAACACTCGCAGGTGTTTCATGTTAATACCCATATAGATTTACCTTGGCATGATGAACTAATGGCTACATTCCATTAGAAATACTAGAGGTTCAAGAGCAACAATTTGACCTGTGTTTAGAGAATCACCTGTGGGGTTAGTAGGGGCTAGGATATGAAGCTAAGTAGATTACTTCATACTGCGCCCGCCCGAGGGTCCGCAACTATAATTTGTAACATGACTGTAATTTTGAGAGTCATTCGATCAGCTGGAAGGTACTTCTCCTTCATAAATTCATCCGATCAAGGGCTTTCTTCAAATCACTTCACATACTTTCCTGAAACATTTTATATGCTAAAAGCAAAAGTGGTACGTGCCATGGAAGGCGTAGTTATATAGGCCAACTTCCTTTTACATACAACTCTTTCAGAAAACTTACACCTGTCAAAATCCTATCCATAGGATAAAATATATACCCCTCAAAATATAAAACCATCAATGTATCAAATTAATCAAAATAAAAAAAACTTCCTCAATTCAAGCATCCTGAGTTTATCTTTTATTGCAAGACAAGATTAAAGCAAAACGGGTCAAAGATGCGATGAATTAATCCATGTTCTATACGAACTAGACACTTGGAAGGGTCCTATAAACCTCCAATTAGGGAAAATGACCACATAATTTTGCGATAGTCTAAAATTTTATGAATTATTTCATAACAAATTATAGATTGACCCCTTTAGCTTTGTTTTCAATAATTTATTTAAAAAGACTCAAAAATGTAAACATCAGCGTGGAGCCTTGCTAACTTCTACACTTCAAAGTATTAGATAAACACAGATTGAGATGCCCTACAAGTTCAAGTAGATTTGGCAGTTCAGGTAGGTTAAAGAAGCAGATAATTGGATTCTTATTTTTAGAGGGACTAGTGATGACATTTTGATCATACCTCAAGACTGCATACCACTGTCAACTGACTATCGGGTTCCAACTCTCAAAAATTCTAACAAAAATATTGATTTTGGGCTGATGGTAATTTGCAGTAAATCCTTTGGCACTTGGCAAGTATCATGAGAAGTTGAGTAGTTGACATACTTTAATTCTGCTCCTTAAAGTTAGTTTCAGAGCAAAAATCCACGATCATATTTGTGTGGTTCTACCCAACTACTGTATAATGATAATGAAAGATTCAGACTCAATTTAAGCCAGTTTCTCACAAAAGACAATTCCATTACCAGAACTGAATTATAAGTACCGGTAGGCAACTTTCAATGCTGATTTTATTGTACTAAAGGGCAACTAGAAAAATCTAGAAAAAATGATGTCCTTGTCTATTTACTATGAACTTTTTTTTTAAAGTGATGGAAAACTGAATTGATACTTTGTAAATTTGTAAAGTGCTTAGAGACATTGTATTAAGCACTATATAAAAGCCAAATATTATTATTGTTATTATACTCTAAGTGATTGTACAGGCTGCCTGCCTTGCAAGCACAACAGGTCAGCAAGAGTATTGGAGGAGCAGATGAAGGAGAGGTTTCTCTGACAGAACATAATGTTGAAGGCACCCCAGTGGAGCTCGCTTACACCAACATATCATATTGTAAAGTAATAGGGGAAGGGGTGTTTTATAATCAACCACATGCAGATTTCACATCATCACATCTTCCAAATCTGTAGTAACCATTTATCAAATTTATAGTAATTTGAATGAACATTGTAGAGAGGAATAGCAATCTACACCATGAAACCTGTATACCATGGAGCTTCAAGCTGCATGCATAGTGCACAGTACCATAAAAACAGAAGAATAAAACAAAGGCTGCAATATAGCAATAAAGGGTTAAACTAAAATAAAAAATAGTTGTAAACAGCATATCATAGATTCATTAATGATTACTAATACTCGGAGTAATGAATGTTGTAAAAACTCACCACTTTAGGACTGTTCTTGTTGAACTTGTTGAGCCCCCGGACTGGCTTCAGCAGACCTGCAACAAACACGGGATCGAGAAGAATATTAGCCATGGTGGTGATACAGGCGTGGTGGCGAGACAGTTCTTTTCCCACATAACGTAAACAATCGGCCCTCCCAGATCTCGAGACCCCGGCCCGGAATACAATTGATTTTCTCCGCTTCCCACGTGACTAGGAAGGTAGGGTAAGCAGAGAGGTTTAGCCCTCTCTCTCTCTCTCTCTCTAGCTACAACCCCTACGCCCCTGATACTACCAAGGGATTGGAGGAATCACATTACATGGAGAGTTATGTGAGATGGGGTTCTGCCCTGCTTCACTTTCTTTTTTTCTCTCCATCTCTCTTTCTCTCTGATTTGTTTCTGTTACAGCCAAACTGAGGAGGGGCATTTTCTCAGTGATGAGAGAGCGTGGAGGTGGGTGGCTAGTCTTTGTTAGACAGGCAATTGGGCCAATTATAATTCAAACTTTACACAGAACTTGAAAGATTTACCTAAATCTAAATTTAATAATAACAACAACTACAATATTAATATTACTACTACTAATAATAGTTATACATGGTATTCATACTCAAATTTGAACAAAAGTTTAAAATCCCTTATTTTGTTTGTACTCTGTGGCAACTATTATTAGGATGAATGGTCCTGATGACACTTGTGATATTCATATTACAGGTCTATTGATGTTGCAGAATCAATTGTGACAAAAGTTGGGCATTCAACATTTATAATAAAATGATCAAACCAAATAGCTCAGCTTGGGTGTTAGTTCATAATAATTTCGTTGCATTTGAAGTTATCCCAAATTATCGAAGTAAACATCCTTTAATTTACAGTAAAGTGTTAAGTTTCAATTATAGATATAAATTTTTAATAAGAGAGGTATTCTGCCAGATAAATGTCAGAGACATACAATTTTACAAACATGTACATCCTCAATAAAACTAAATTCATATTCAATGTTTCATTCAAAGATATTATTCATAATGCCTGGACTGCAAGTCTAACTTTCAAAACATGTCTGGGGTCAAGAGGTCGTCCAGAAAGGCATCCATAAAGATTTTTGTCAAGGTGATGAGAAGGTTTGAGGGCAGGGTCATAAAGTTGAGATGTTTGGATAAAGGCATGGACCGCAAAAGCATTCCTATGGGGATTTTACATGCTTGTTGCTGAAGCCAATGAAAAATCAGGAAAGAAGTAATGTATAGATCTGATCGTTGGTTGTTATTTGGCCTTTCTCTTTCCCTTTCTTCCTCTTTCTATTTTTTCTTTCCGTCTCTCTCTCTCCCCCCCCCCCCCCCCCCCCTCTCCCTCTCTCTCACTCTCTCTCTCTCTCTCTTTCTATTTATCTCTCCCCTTCTCCCTAACTTTTTTGCTATTTATCTTATATACCTTCTCCTTTATACACTAGGCCTATACTTTTAATTTGTTTCTCTCCCATTCTGTTACTTATACATACATGTATTCTATACTTTAAGTATTTCATCTATCCCTTCATTCCCAATTCCACTTCATATACACATCCACACCAATTATTATGGCAGTCAGTGCACTGCTGAGTATTAACACATCACCACCTGGTGATAAACTATCGTAGAAATAGACCCGACTATGTGTTCAGTATTCATCCCATCTTGTTCAGTGACTTCAGACAGTAAGGACTTGCCACACACTTTAAAGCATGTCTGCACTAGTTTGGCCAGGGGGATTAGACCTCCCTGCAAGGTCACTGGCAGGTGGTTATCTCATCAAATCAATTAATATAAGAAAACGGGGATCATGGGGAACCAACAGGCACCGATTAGGCATTGTTTGCTATATAGAGGGCGCAAGTAGCTGTAAGTAGTGCAATGGGGCTTTAACTTTTTGATATTGTATGACATACAGTTCCACCAGAAGGAGATCGAGGGTGAGTTAGAGGAGCACAATGTATTTGTTACTACCAAATCATGCATCATAATTTTGAATTCCATCATGTATTTGGGGGATAAGCTGAGCATCTGGGCATCTTGGAAAGGTTCATTGAGAGGGCACCAGGTGTGATAGCTAGAAACACTGTCAGTGGTGAGAGCTTGAATAACCTCGTCTGCTTGTCAAGGCTAATGAGATTGTCATAATCTCTCATGTTCTGACATCATGACATGAATGTATTCCTCAGTGAGTAAACAACATTCATATCGATCATATTTATTCCCTTTGATGTGGCAGTAATCTCCAAGTAGAAATCAGTGGCACACATAGCTTAAACATGATTTCTTTACCCCCTCCCTGACCCACAGTGAGGCTTTTTTTATCATCAAATACTATCTTGGACCCTCCTCCCCCCCCCCCCCCCCCACCCCCACCTAACACCACCCAACAAAATTTCTATCCTGCTCATTTTGATATGAATACTGCAAATTCCTCCATTCACATATATTTGAATGCAGTTGATATTTTACAGAATGTTACTCTCGTACTCCGGGGAAACTCTTCTAAATTTCTTCCACAATTCTAAAAAAATATTAGACATTGCTCTCCCCCTTCCCATACATTAAAGGGATCCGGTAACTTTGTCTCAGATTCTGGAAACATATTCTGGATTCAGCTCATGATGCAATGATAATTATAAACCTTTAGGTCAGTCAGGAACCCCGTGACTTTTACAAGCCGATCGCCTGTCTGATTATCAAGATATTTATGATTGGAATTACAAATTTTGAAAACCGTTCGCCTGACGGTTTTCATAACACTACAGTCTATTGGGGAAAACGAGTATGGTAAAACCGGTCACTCAAAGATTTTTACTTTTTTGAGGCACTTCTTGATCATTTTGAAGCGCAATTTTTTTAGGACTTCAATATTACATCATATCACAGACACTGATAACACGTAGGGCCGTGTATCTCAGATTTACCATTGTTAAACGATCCCTTTAAATGTTTGGCATTTGAATCATTTCACAGTTTTCAATGGTTATCTCTTTTCTTTAAAAAAAGAAAAACAAAATTACTGCACCTAATATAATTCTTTTTAAATTAAATTGTACCTACACAACTAGAACATGAAAGCTGGAAAATATGCAATTCTCCTGCCAACAATACAAAAGCATTAAGTGTGAAAAGTGAGAAGTGTATACATGTATCTAAGATTTACATTTTGAACTCTCCTCAGGCAGTAAATTCTCTTTTTTGCAAGTAGAACTTGTCTTTGTTTTTGTTAAAGATGTATGATATTTTCTTTACACTCCATCACCCCATGGCACACATCACCTTTGGGTGAAAAGACATACATCATCATGGATTCATTCATGAGTGTCAGCTTGCTCTACAAAACTCTAAAACCACATAAAGAGAAGCTTAGGGTTTCTGAGACTAAGATGATTGGATTTGATGGGGGTGAATAGGCAAACTTATTTAAAAACTCTTTTTGTTTCATCGAATACAGATTTATTTGGGTTTAATTCTATCATGCAATCCTTGTTCTGAAATAAGCAGGTTAAATGGTACAAGTTTTTATTTGATATACAGTATAATTCAATTTTAAAGAGACTTGGGTGAGAGCAAGTAGAATCCTTTTTTCCCCTTCTTAAATGGCAAAAACTTCAATTTACTTGAAAGCTAGCAGATAATACTTTGTGTGAAGCCTAAAGGAAGTCACCTGGGAGAAATGAGACGGACTCCTACCAAATGCTTATGTACAATAGGGTCTCATGAGAATATACATTTCCATGAACTCAAAAATTCTGATTAATAATTCAGCCAGCGGTTGGAATGGTTTGTATGCCAATTCCCTGCATGTATCCTCCATACAATGCAGTTAGTTCCCATAACAAATGTCCACCGACTCGATGGTTGATCATTTGAAGGTAACGCAATAAAGCAGTGAGATCGGTGATGTGACAATTGCGCCATGCATATATTTAATCAGAGATGGAAAAGGAGGAGTGCAATTGAGTTTTAGGTTAAGGCTCAGGTTTATTATGCTTAATGTCAAGGTTGGGTATAGCGTTGGTTCCTGGTTTGAAGTTCCTTTAGAGAATGGAATTGACCATGGAAAAACTGTCGTCAGAACCATGCCATATAACTGGTAAAGCCATCACATTTATGACTAGATCTTGGAACAAGTTGCATTCGGCAATTAGATATTATAATCAAAGATATGAAATCTTCTATATAGAGGTCCAGAATAATGCTGAACAGTTACACCTTAATGCATCACTAGCTATCCAGTCAGAACAAAGGCACAAACAACTACGATGAAGGGACAGTTGTGAATTAAAATGGACTTATATTGCCCTGATCCACAGCCTTTTTTTTTTTTTAACAGGAAAGATCATAAAACTCTACAATTCAATTTTTACCATTCAACTAATTATTTACAACCTCAAAAGGAAAGATTTCACATTTTTAAATCTTTGTATATTATCAACCATGTTTTCATAAATCTGATAGTTGTCACATTGTAAGATGTGTAGTGACCTAGAGAAAGGCTCCGAGTGATCATCCTAAACATAAGCGATACAACAAACAACATTTAAAGCCTGTCTGCACTAGTTTGGCCAGGAGGGGTTAGACCACCCTGCGTGGTCACTGACTGCGTGGTTATCTTATCAAATCCGCTCTCAATTAACATAAGTAAAAGGGGATCATGGGGGACCAACAGGCACCGCTTAAACATTTTCTGCTGTATAGAGGGCGCAAGTAGCTACAAGTAGTGCAGTCCGCTTAGTCTTCCTCACAAAACTGAATACTGGGAAATACGAAAGGAATGTAAAGAAAAAAACGTACCTCCTCTCTGCACACTGATGATAGTATCTTGACCCTGAGGGCAGTCTTTGAGTTTCTGGACCACTTGATTGTGCGGAAGGTCTGTGATGGACTCTCGATTGATCTCCAACAGGAGGTCACCCTCTCTCAGTGTCTTACATCTCTGTGGAGCCAGTATCTGCTTTACCTAGAAAGGTTCAAAATAAAATAATAAAACACTTCAATCACATGTCGGTCGGTAGATTATTCATGTTTTTCTTTGGAAGAAAGTATTATAGGATGGGGTACAAACATATAACATTTGCTTTTGCAGAAATGTTTGTCTATCTGCCCCCCCCCCCCCCCCCCCTCCTCTTTAAAAAAAAAAAGTAAATAAAACCTTCTATTTGATTGCACAAATACATACTTGATGTAAGTATGGTATGTGAAGAGATGAACCGTCAGTTCATCATTGCAACAAATTTGAAGAAATCTTTGATTTCATCTGACTGGTGTTCTAAGGACTTTGCAGATATGTTCAAAAGGCAAAACAAAATACCACTAGTCAGGAAAAGGAAATGGATACATGCATGGATCCAAAATACTATCAAATAAATTAATGAAATGTAAGTCTCAGTACCTAGCATCTATCATTGAGTGCAGCTAAAACAAAGAAACTGGTGCTCCAAAATATTGGTGCAACTTTCTGGGAAGTCTGGGAACCATCAAGTATAGACCCATCAATTATAGTTCTCTCCATATTTGTCACAGTCAATTTCAAAATGGATGAGCTAAACCGTCCTTGACTTGTCCTATTCTCATAGAACCTGACAACTCAGAATATTATGTTGTTCCTGAATATACTCAGTGAAAAACCATGGACTTCAGAGTTTGTTTTTCTTTAATTTTTGAATTCACACCTATGACATTATGACTTTAATTGAATATTTGTAAATACTGCTGTGAAAATGGCTGCACTCAACCTACCTTCTGCCCGTGAGGGCTGTCAGCAACTGTAAAGCCGAATCCTTGGTTGCTTTTGACAAACACTATGTCATGTTTCTCTGCTGGTCCTGCATCGCTGGACGACAGACTGGTCCTGTCACTAATCATGGGGGATCCTGGCACGTAGCCTGGATGACTGCTCAGGGACGGGGTAGGTGTCTTTGATCTCTGAGGAGTGTTTGGTTCCCCACCCTGCTGCTGCAGCTTGTGAGAGAGATCCGGAAGAGACTTGACATGAGGCATTCGACTGAGGTTGGTGTCTCTTCTGGCGGAGGGTCCGTGGCCCCGCCTCTGGTTGGGTGGAGTGTAGGGATAGTCCCTGCTGCTGTTGTGACTGCTCCTTGATGCTGCATCGTCTCCCGTTGGTCCCAGGTTGTTCGGAATGTAGTCAGGCGGAATGTTCTGGTTCTGGTTGCGAATGTTACCCAGTGATTTAGATTTGTTCCCAAGGCCATTCTGGTTGGATACTTTGTTGGGGTCGATGGCATAGGAGGTTACTATATGGGCTTTCGGGTCGGCGGGGTCAAAGGGTAAGGGGTATCCTCTGCAGACTTCCAGCTCCACCCTTTCACCTGGTTTGATTCCTTGGAAGATCGTAACAACATCTTTGTGGGTGCAGCCAAGAACCAGTCTCTTGTTAACAGATACCAACACATCACCTGGTAAAGAAAACATTGGTGGATGCTAGAGAATCATTTATTGTATTGTATTGCAGTACTCTACAGATCATACAACACCAATACACAGGTAACTCGTACAGAAGACTCAAGTCAATGCAATTTCCATTGCTCTACAAAGGTTGAGTAGCATTCTAATCTAGTAAAGTGGAAACAGTTTTATTGGCGATAACAGCTAGCAGGCATGGGTCAGTCATCTAAATAGTCAAGTCACTAACAAACTTCAACAAACTTCACATCCAACTTGAATCATTGGAAGGGACAGAACAGATTATAAGATATTGGCAAGGGATGCACTGCCTCTAAATATCAAAGGTGTGGACCATTGTGCAGTATTTACCACCATCAAGACTGCATTCAATGTCACCACTCCTGAGCAAAGTTCATCATCCTATTACATTAAATCATGGCCCTGTATTAACACAAAGCTTAGCAATCAATTGATTGTACATGATGGTCATTTGCACAATAGCAGTCAATTGCTAACTTACCTTTGTTTTACTGGGCCCAGATAGTGATTACCATTTTCCAGGATCATATGATATTCAAATTTGATTTAGGATCAAGATCTGCTAGTGATCATACAAAATATCATCCAATTGTAATTGTCCATTACCAACATGTAGGGTAAGGAAAAGTGATTACAACATTTTGAATGAGCAACATGATCCAACTCCAGAGGGAGAGCTAAAAAAAAAAAGGACTTGAAAATTTGCAAAAAACATAGACACTATCGCTCAATTAATAACTTTTTCATTCTCGACAAGCTCTTGTAAAAAAAAAAGGAAGATCTCTCGAAATAAACTTGAAGATTCCAGAAATAGAAATCATCCCTAATATCTCCACTTTTACTACATGAATCAGCTCTTGTAAAGAACAAAAGAAAATGAGTAATGACGGCAATGAGAGTAGTATCACCTGTTTGCAAGATGCCGTCTTCATGAGCAGGCCCGGTTGGGAGTATGTTTCTGATCTGAAGGAACTCGTTGGGGTCGTCCCCTCCAATGATGGTGAAGCCGAAGCCTTGACCGCCCTTGAAGAGGTGAGTGGTGTATCGTGGTCCGATCAACTTGTTGGGGTCGTTGGTAAACTTGTACATGTCATTTGCTGTATTTCAAGTGAAATAAAATGCACCATTATACAAGCAGTTGTATATTAAGTACACAAGTGCCCCGTCTTACAAATTAATCGCAAGTCCTCCAATTAATCGCAAGTTTGCAGTCTCATATCTCTTATGTACATAGTTGCGATTGATATCAACTCTTTGTAAGATGGGGCACTGGAATGCACAGACTCTCATTAAACACCTCCTTCCTTGCATGACATGAGCTCTGATGACAATTGCTTTGTCAAGGATTCCTAGCACAAATGAATTGTAACTTTAACCCTGAAGCCAATACCTTACTTAACCTAACTAACTACAAAGCTACCCTAAAGCCCACTTGCTACACAATCTCAAATTTGTAATGAAATAAACCACAGGGTGAATGTCCCCAGAGCGAATGTCAGATAACCAGTATAATGTTGTAAAGCAATACGGTAGCCTTTGGAAAAATCAAATAAATTATTGCCATGTCAGGTAATGATCATGTTCAGTACTTAATTAATTCTTGTCGTGTATCCAGCTTCCCAGCTAATGATCCTATTCGATACGATTCCTTCTGTTTGCCATGTAAAAAGCTTTCAGCATTTCATATCAACATATGGATGAATTCTGCAGTTAGACATTATAAATTCAGTCATCAATTATCGTTATTATCATTCTGGACTAACACCATTACATACCGAGTTCATCTGGTCCTAATGATCCATTGGTCCTGTTCTGTTTGGTCACATCAGGGTCATTTGTGGTCCTACGGGGAGTTCCTGGACTATCTGTATTCTGCTTCCTGGTCAGGGTGTTGTAGGAATGGATGGGAGCAGCCCTTGGGGAACCTGTGCTGTCGCTGCCGTTTTTCGAGGGGCTGTTAAACTGGGTCTTGCGATTGACGTGGCTGTGCAAAACGAATGAAAGGATTCAATATACATTAGCTACATTCGTCACTCTTTCAAATACTCCTTTGAAATAGGGCTTGTATTCAAAGTTGCAAAAACATAAGACATAATGCACTAATTCAAACAACAAGTAAATGATATTCAATTATCATTATGCATCACATGAGAGTTTTAAAAAACACAGTAAGAGATAACTGTTCATGTGAAAGCTAAAAGCAATGAATTATGAAAACTACACCATGCCAAGAGAAGTCTGGACTGACTAGGGTTTCTTTGAGGGTTTTATCTTTCTCTGTTTATTTCAATATCTTTAACACAATTTCTACAAAAGGCATTTATAAACTATTCAGTTCATAATTTATTACACCTCATTGTGCACATGATCAGTTAAGGGTGTATCTCACTGAGCGGCGAATGCTTACGAACGTTGCAAATTTTGGATTCGCCAACTTTTCTGACAAATGTTGGCGAAATCAGGGTTTGCCTCTGCGACATTTGGCAATGTTTAGCGACAACTAGCCAACATTTGAGCGAATATTTGCGAAGCGTTCGCGAAAGGCAGTTGGCGACGATTAGCAACCATTTGTGAATGTTTGGGACCTGTTGCTAACTCCTAGTACTCAATGGAACAATTTTATATAGGAACCATATGGTCATGTGGTCACTAGCATTGGCGAATCAAAAAGGACTTCAGTGACACCATCTTACAACCATTTGCAAAAGCTTACAACTGTTTGAGGAAAATTAAATTCACAAAGAAAAACTGCTTGCGACGTTTCTGGTAACCTTTTACGAACCTCTTGCAACCTTTTACAAACCCGTTCGCAAGCATTCGTCGTTCAGTGAGATACCCACTTTAGCAACATAATTAGCAAGATTCATGTTCATTATTATAATTATGGAGGATAATTTGCTTAATGGGTTTATTGGTATTGTGTTGGTATTCCTAATTGGAATTACTCTCTCTACTTATCAACGGTATATAATGGGCACATCAATCATTGCTTCAAAACATACATGTAGCTAACCTGTATAAAAAAGAACTTTTTCATACTTTCTATACTTTCATTTCTGTAGGAGAGAGAAAGGGAGAGAGAGAGAGAGAGGGGGGGAGGGAGAGACAGAGATGGAGAGTGAGAGATAGAGGGGAGAGAAAGAGGGAGAGAGAAAGAGAGAGAAAGAGAGAGAAAGAGAAAGAGAGTGAAAGAGGGAGAGAGAGACAGAGACAGAGAGACACAGAGAGAGACACAGAGAGAGACACAGAGAGAGAGAGAGAGAAAGAAAGAAAGAAAGAACTCCTATTCTATTGAGTTGAGTGGAACAGGTGCTTATCTTGAGGCAGAACAAGAGATAGCCCTGAATACATCCCTGGAAATTGTCACTGTTTATCGCCATCTGAGAGCATCTCTATCTACAAGTGAGATAGTATGCACATCCACTTTTGCAATCAACCTACAATGTACCAAATATATGTTTATTAAGAATGCAGACCACAGTATATTAGGAATAGCAGTTGTAATAAGACCCTGTGCTCACATCTATTAAAATAGTCTCTTTAAAGGGATCGTTTAACAATGTTAAATCTGAGATACACGGCCCTACGTGTTATCAGTGTCTGTGATATGGTGTAATATTGAAGCCCTAAAAAAAAAATTGCGCTTCAAAAATGATCAAGGAGTGCCTCAAAAAAGTAAAAATCTTTGAGTGACCAGTTTTACCAGACTCGTTTTCCCCAATATACTGTAGTGTTATGAAAACCGTTTGGCAAACGGTTTTCAAAATTTGTAATTCCAATCATAAATATCTTGATAATCAGACAGGCGATCGGCTTGTAAAAGTCATGGGGTTCCTGACTGACCTAAAGGTTTATAATTATCATTGCAGCATGAGCTAAATCCAGAATTTTGTTTCAGAATCTGAAACAAAGTTACTGGATCCATTTAATAATTCTCTTGTAACAAAAAAAAAAGGATATATCAGGGCAAGCTAATAATGTCAGAGGAATTATAATTCTATTGTTAACTGAACTAACAAAGAAACACCTCCGCAGTTTTCCGCTGGCTCACAAACAGAAATAAGACACAGAGGAAGTCAAGGCAGAGCACAAACCCTGACCTAATAGACAGATTATACTTGGTATTATTGAGAAGGCATGAAAGGGATAATTGGCATTTTGTGCATAATAATGAAAACCGGGTTTGTCTTTAATGACAAATTATAACTGTTGCCATGTACATTTCTCTTGAGAAAATAGTGTTATCAAACCCATATATTTCCCTATATATGGTATATATATATATATATATGGAAATAAGATAATAGTTGCAGTTTATAACTACTGTGCACTGGATCCATGCCATTACATGTTTTCTCCCTCAAAGAAGGAGTATGATTGAATCTGATTTCTTATTAGAGAGATGAGGAAAACCAAATTTGCAAATGGTGAAGAAAAGAAAACACTGTTAGTACAGTCTGATGTAAGCAATTATCCATCTATGCAAGGCCATGCCAGCAACCAAAATATAAGAAAGAAAAAGTCTGGGAATATACCAAAATTAATAACAATTAACATAGACAACTATTCAAACACTAGCATACTACGAAACAAGATCTTTAAGTAGAAAATTAAAGAGGTTATGTAGTGGCCAAAGCCTCAACTTATCCAATACCATAACCTATTTATCAAACTGTAATAAGGAAGTGATGAATGATTGAGGTAATGAGGCGAATCCAATGAAAAGGGCATTTAGGTTCTCCTAAGAAGTTTAAAGAATGGGTTACACATTAACAGATCCTTTGAGACCTCATATTAAATCTGTCTGAACTGCATCTTAAAGGTACTATGTCCCATTTGCAGGCCCAAAAAATGAAAAAGTTAAATTCCAACTGCATTTGAAAGATAATACTAATTTAGAACTTCCCTTAAAAAGGTGGGGCTTGAAAATGTCTTCAAGTGGGAAAATAACGACTATTAGTTGTCAAATCGACTTTAGGGCTATAGAGCCCAAAAGTAATAGTCTTGATTTTCAGACAATTGTACCGAATGGTCATACGTTTTATGCTGCGCAAAGATTCAATCAGTTTAATCTTGGCCATCACAAGAAGTGGGTTATTGATGTAGACAAATGCTCATGTACCCTTTACAACTCTGTTCATGTATGTTATTACCAAAGAAGAAAAAAAGCCAGTCAGTCACTCAATAGTGTCTGACAGTGAAGTCTAGCAAGTAAACGGGTTTCCTTGCATAATTTGAATATGAGGACACTGCTAATGTTTAAATTTCACAGATAGGACATTCATGACATATTCATAATTCCTGCAAAGTTCTACAGAATTTGAGGTTGGCTGCAAAAGGGACATAGTACCTTTAAATCAAGGTTATCCAAGCTTGGCTTAGGGCTTTGACAGTATGTAAGATAACTAGCCCATGTACTCACTACTTACATATCCTGTAAGTGAGCATAAATGTGGCTTAATCAACCAAGGCCTATATCATGTAAACTGCTTGAACTGATTCAAGTTGTGTTCTATGTCTTCATTTCATTACTTATACAAGACAAAATTATGAAAAGTAAACACAGAGCAAACTACATGTAGCTTAATATGGTGTCCTTCTTGATTTAAAAACAAATTCTGCTACACCAATTACGAAAGGTACCGGTACTATCTAAATAATCTAACATTTAGCTTTCGTAGACATGACCACAATTGAAATCTTCTTTGATTTGTCTCAGAAATTAAATGATTGATTTTTAGCAAAGAAAAAAAAAATGTTCATTTTCAATAAGAATAGTAAAGATGCATTTGTTGAAAGTTATTATGCGACGTTTAAGTATAATTAAATTAGACAACCATCTCAAGGGAATATCATACAAATGTCAACATCTTATCTTGTTTCTGTAAGCTTTTGGGCTGTTTTCCAATTTAAAAAAAAAAGGTTAACAGTACCATTAAGTAACTTTTAATTTCATGCAGCAGAAAGTCACATTCCAATTATTAGGTTTAACAAAAAAAGAAAAAAGACATGATGTGTTTGAAGAACATTTCTTACGTCATCCATGCAGGAGACATACATGTTAACTTCATTAAATGAAACCTCATAAAAAAAGAATTGACAGATGATTCTGTCTTGTACTGATATTACATGAAGAATATGATTTATATTTAACATTTCTCTAATTAGATTTTTGCAAAAGGGAATTGTTAGTTTTCTATTGTAATGAAGGATATGATTTATGTTTAACATTTCTCTATCACTCTTATAAAGGATAAGAATCCATACATTGTACATCTGTATTGATGCCATGCAATGGTAGAAGTACAGGGTGTATGAAGAAAAGTCTCCTCTAACTACTATTTTGAGCACCATATGGTAGTTTTATATTGTAAGCTGAACAATTTTCAAGGCAAGTTAACCTGATAGTCACGGTGACTAATTCAGCTAGATGAGTACGTAACCGTAACCGGAGAAGGCAAAATGTGCCATGTCCAACACTAGCCTAGGGTTAAGCAGAAATTGATGGTGTAAATGTAAACTAACAACCTGTGCTTTGCTAGACAAACAGACAATGTAATTCCAACATCTTGAATCAAGACTAGCTAGAATAGGACCTCACCTTTTCATGTGTATGTTTACTCATGATGTCAATATTGGTTGAACTGTTCAAATACATGCTAGCTCCAAGGAACCCACAATAGTCAAACTCATACTCTACCATCACGTACTTCAGAAAGGGATATAGAAGCAATAGGAATAATAGATCTAATGTCATTGATATTATGACATACCGGTATCCCATTAATTAGAAGCAGCTATGCCCTACTTTACAGATAAATGCACTTGATTACACATGAACAAGAACATTAAATTTCCTCTCTGCTCAATTGTACTCTATAACTGGTAATATCATTCAAACATGACTACTTTAGAATGATCAAAAGCAAGAAATGACCTATTCTTCAGATTAGCAAATAAAACATGCTTGTACGTTTTGATTAAGGCTTAAAGGTCTATGTATTTTTACAACTGTTATCAATTCAGTCTGGTGCAAAAAAGATTGTGATCTAGGTGATGAGGTTTATCCCCACATACTCTGGTAACCTAGAATCACCATGTTCCTCATCATAATATTAAAGTGAGCAAAAAATGAAGAATTTCTCCTAAAGTCAGAAATGTACCTTAATGCTTAAAATCTTAAAATCTAGAACATGTATTCTGAAATATTACTCATAATATCTGAGTAAGATTCTAATGCAATTTTAATATAAAGCATGTATGAAAATTCTCATGTAACAGGTATGCTGCTCCAAAGAACAATTCACATTTATACTGCCTGATCAATATTGCAGTTCCCATGGGGAGGCATTCATTGACAATGCAATATACAGGGCGCCTAGATTATCAAACTGGTTCACGCACAATGCATCTGACAAACAAATCTACTTACTCAATGTAATAGGTGCCGTACTGTGGATCGTCTATCTTTTCCCATCCGTCTGGAAGCTCTGAATTAAAAAAAGAAGAAATAATTGCAATAAATCAATGAATTTTGAAGAAAAATAGGCTAGGCAAATTACCTCAATTACTCGAGATATGAAATATATCAAGAGTTTAAGTGGGTTTCAAATCAGCAGCAAGAAACTGAAGGATTGCATCTGAGATAAAACCATACGTCCATGTTCAAACACACACCTACACAAAGAGGGAGAAAAGGAGAAAAGGAGAAAGAAGGAGAAAGAAGGAGGGGATGAGACATGAACTATTTAAAAAAAAGTTGAATGAAGTGGCAGCTGGCACCTACATGGACATTATCACCTCAACCTGAACTTCACACAACTTAATTGGTCAGGGGGCGTTCCACAAAGACTAAGATCGACTTTAAGTTTGACTTAATTATGGCAGGCCGTTCATGCCACTAGTTACTCTAACCATTCATGGCATTGGTTTCTCAAGGGACATATAAATCGTGGTCACAGATCTACATTTTTTTGATAGTTCATTATTGAAGGAAAAAATATCATCTAAAGATCATAATTGAGAGACTAATAGCGAGAGCAATCAGTGGCATGGACAGCCTGCCATAGTTAAGTTTAACTCAAAGTCAATCTTAGTCTTTGTGAAACACTCCCCAGGTGACATTAAATCAGAAATCATCATTACCTTCTTTAGATGGGGGGCCTGGGCCTGGTGAAGTATGTTTCTTCTTCTTCTCTAACCTGGGGTCCAGCCATTGAGTCCTTTCATCTCTGTGGCTATGGATGAGAAAAACAAACCAAAGAAAAAACTTCATAAGTAACAAATTTGCATAAATAGTCAATTGCAATACCTAACAATTAAGCATAAATGAGATGCAGTACCCTGTTGTTCATAAGCTACACCAGAATAGTGAGATCCTAACTATTTTTGTCAGCCTGGGGGCCGTCATAAGTGTAACTACTAGGACATCCTACTGAAACGTGTGTTATAGAGTTAACCCACATTTCTATGGGATGTTCACGAACTTAGACTTATGATGGTTTCGAGTAACAGCCCCCCTGGTCCAAGTGCACTATAGAAATTAAGTGCACTGAAGAGTTCATCAATTGATTGTATGCAATGAATATCTGGAGCATCAAAATAAACCTTGACCTCTGACACTTATCCATACCATTAGAAAACAGAGCATTGAAAAAATCAGTCCATATGGTTTGATCAACAACATGTCTGCCTATAGAAGAAACAAGAAACAATATAGAGACAGAATTAGATGTTGGATAAAGAGAGAGGGAGAGAGAGAGGGAGAGAGAGGGAGAGAGAGGGAGAGAGAGGGAGAGAGAGGGAGAAAGAGAGAGAAAGAGGGGAGAGCCATACCAGAAGTGTCAATAAAAGAGACAGGGAGACAGAATATCAGACCAAAGCAACCAGATTAATGTGCAGAGGTACATCATACGATATCCTGTTTCGTTTGATGATGCCCATCTGATAATCAGATGAAAATAAGATAAATAATTTCAAAGAACATAGTATGAGTATAAGAACTTGAATTCCTGTTCATTGTCATGATAGCAGCATGAATGCTATTGAGTAGACACCATAAAACCGTACATAGCTTCTTTCCTCTCATTTGAGATGCACTAGATATTAGCCATACCCCAAGCCTCTAATCAGTGGCACACCACACATGAACAGGATAATATATTATGCATACAATGCATGCATACACGGAAACTGAGTGACAATGTGGTTTCTGTACGGATCTTCACTTTGGAGGTTTTATATCGGCATTATATACCACAGCTGGCTACGAAATGGGGGGAAAATGAACGTTATAAATGTGGCTATTATACCCGACAATAAATCATAGTGACATTTATGCATATTTTGTGGTCTTCTTGTTATGATACAGATACATGCACACGCAAAGCATTTTTTGAACCACATAAAGAGTAGGACTTTGTCATATGACGAATTGTAAATGTATGTGAGAGCAACATTCACATGTAGTCACAGGGAGATAGTTCCTTCCGATTCATTCAACACCATATAATATCTCTTATTAGTGCATTAATGTAAGAAATGTTATATATGACTAACTGTATGTATGGATTAAGGGGCACTAACGAGAGTGCTGTCAGGAATTAGGTTCATTTCTTCGTTATTATGAACATTCTATCGTATGGCAGTTGTAAATGTTATCCATATCACCAAATGTGTGAAAATGAACGTGCAAACAAATTGAATTTAAATTTAAATTTAAATCCCAATTTCATGCATGCAAAATAGATCTCGTCATCAATGAGAAGTAATATTGCATCTGTCACTAAGTCACTCTTCATTTAAAACAAATATATACTATATAGAAAAGACAATTTCTAAAATACTGCTTGGAAAGACAAAGAAAAAAGGGTTGGTCCACTGTATATGGCAACTTAATGAGGTATCCTAACATGGAAGACAGCACATGGGACTGATACATCTTTAGAAAGGCCACAAGACGATTTCTGACCCTCGTATGTAACTAGCTGGCTGTTAAAGTCATTATCACCCGCACACTGCTCCACACATCATTCAGCTTGTAATGATCTCAGGGAATCTAGACATGAGGAATAACCATTAGCGTCGTCCTATTAGCACTCTAGTATAATTAGAGCATTGTCGGGGAATTAATAGCAATACCCAGATGACAAATGGCTCTCTTAAAGACTTAATCGAGGATGCAAGAAGTGCATGTGTAGCGAGACACGATGAGGACAAAGGGAGAACATATCCACCTCCTCCTCATGTGCTGATTTTCTCTGGTATCACTCGTAAATATTTACTTTCTACTTCATACATATTCTTCTAAACAGGAAATGTGGTTGTTCAGTCGTAGAGTAGTACACTCATAAGCAGAAGATGCCAAGTTTGAAACTAAGTTGATTAATCTGCAATTAGAAGTCCCTCTTAAAGGACCTAAGGCTGTAGGTATCCCAGTTAAGTAAATCATATAATCAATCATTCAAAACAAACTGTAAAATCAAGATGAATTCATGATTCACAAACATACAGCCATGTTTAATAGCTTGAAGGGTGTTTCCCCTCTTCAGTTATTACTTTTCTTCTTCTTGGGTTTCAGTTTTGATGTATCTTTTTCCTTCTCACGTCTGTAGTATTGACTTGAACAAATCTATATCAACCTGGATATGTGTGAGCAAATATTCTCTAGTGTAAAGACGTCTTTTTGCAACGGGGAAAATATGAACCAATAATTGTTACCGGTTTCATTGTTGCTTCTACAATATTGATACATTTTGGTATATTTTGAAATGATAGACGGCTGATGTTTGAAAAATACTGTCCGTCATGATTAGAAGGAGATAAAATTCTAAACACCAAAAAGACTCTCCATCACAGAAGCAAGGGTGCTACTTAAACCTACACCTGGTGATACATATTATGTTTTCATTCAAGTACAGAAGTACTTGCTGACTTACTCGATTATGTTTTCAATCAAGTACAGAAGTACCTGCTGACTTACTCTACTATGTTTTCATGCAAGTACAGTTGTATTTGCTGACTTACTCTATTATGTTTTCATGCAAGTACAGTAGTATTTGCTGACTTACTCTATTATGCTTTCATTCAAGTACAGAAGTACTTGCTGACTTACTCTATTATGTTTTCATTCAAGTACAGAAGTACCTGCTGACTTACTCTACTATGTTTTCATTCAAGTACAGAAGTACTTGCTGACTTACTCTATTATGTTTTCATGCAAGTACAGTAGTATTTGCTGACTTACTCTATTATGTTTTCATTCAAGTACAGAAGTACCTGCTGACTTACTCTATTATGCTTTCATTCAAGTACAGAAGTACTTGCTGACTTACTCTATTATGTTTTCATGCAAGTACAGTAGTATTTGCTGACTTACTCTATTATGTTTTCATTCAAGTACAGAAGTACCTGCTGACTTACTCTACTATGTTTTCATTCAAGTACAGAAGTACTTGCTGACTTACTCTATTATGTTTTCATGCAAGTACAGTAGTATTTGCTGACTTACTCTATTATGTTTTCATGCAAGTACAGTAGTATTTGCTGACTTACTCTATTATGCTTTCATGCAAGTACAGAAGTACTTGCTGACTTACTCTATTATGTTTTCATTCAAGTACAGAAGTACTTGCTGACTTACTCTATTATTTTCATGCAAGTACAGTAGTACTTGCTGACTTAATCTATTATGTTTTCATTCAAGTACAGAAGTACTTGCTGATTTACTCTACTATGTTTTCATTCAAGTACAGAAGTACTTGCTGACTTACTCTATGTAGTACATGTCTCCTGTCTCTGTGAAAGCAATCTCCCACTCGGTCGGTAGAGGCCCGAGGTCCTCTTCAAGTTTCCTGACAGTCTCAAGGTTCTTCTCTTGCTGCGAGTCCACAGGCTTAGGGTTGAGGGTGGTGGCTTCTATCGTTGACTTGTTACGTTGGCGTTTTCCAGGGGCAGATGGCTTTGAACCTGTAAGATTAGAATAGAGATGGGAAGAAAGAATTAGGTAAACCATGAAAGATCTTTCTTTAATTACCCTTGGAATAGGATAGGGACAACAAACAGAAGACCAACATCCCTCAATGGTCCAGATGGTCCAAGGGACCGACAGCAAACAAGACTGATAGAGTCGATCTCAAGAATCTTTCAGGAACGTAGTTAAGAAGCCTGTGAGAATGACAATGTAGGTATCTAATGTTGGCCTTTGTATTATTTTGTATCAAACTGACAATTTATATCGACAATCTTAAGGGCAGTACTGTTGATAGAAATCAGGGAAAAAAGGTAATTTAAAAAAAAACATGGCATTAAAGCATGAAAGATTTGGGCAAGTTCATCTGAAGAATAAGTACAAATTAGTCATCCCTGAACTTCTAACCCTTGCCTACAGTACACTCCTCACCACATATAGCATGTACAGTATGTATCCACTCATGGATTCCTGCAAACACACGTTACATGCAGTAAATTCATTGTCAATGGCTTTAATCTTGGTATTGATCTACCAGTTAAACACTACTGTACATGCAAACTGCCATCACTTGTATAATAACAGAGATGAGGGGGTGGTAACCACGAGCAGGCAAAAAGACTGATTGATGAATGGTTGAATTGTCAACTCATATGGAACATAACTCATTGTCAATCACCAGTAGAGCACATGACTGCCATTTGTCATAGTGATAACTCTATTAGCATGCAATGCCAATGGCTTCACTCTGCTGCATTTCAATGGGCAACTGTTGGAACTGATAATTAGGGAATGATGCAAATTGCAGCCTATCATCTTGCACAACACAGTTATATTGTAATTTTGTTTTTGTCATACATTATATGCTAACCTGGTTGAAATACTGTTTAATATAATTATCAAGGTTCAAAATCATGGCTCTTACGAGACTGGGCTTTAGGTTGTCTAGGCATGCTCAAATATTCATGACAAACTCATTCTTTATGTCACGATATGAAAGAAACTGTGAAAGAAATCAGACCAACAAAATGAAGTCAATGTATAAATTTCGAGATCAATTTTAGTGTAAACAATGGTAAATAAAATGATGAAGAAAACACAAATTTACCGGATTAAAATGTTTTTCAAAGTTGTCTTACCTTCCAATCATCATGGACCTACTTGAGATCTAGTTAATCCTATTCCAGATCTAGTTAATCCTATTCACAGCAATTTTGTCACAAACGAACCAAATATAGAGTCATCAAAGTGCTTCAAGTCACTTCTCTACAATGATGATACACATTATATATCTTCTGAACACCAGTATGATCGTGTCTATATACTTGCAGCAATATTAAGAGTATGTGGCCCTGAATAAGGGGTGCAGCTTGGGCAATATATTACATATTTGGAACCATAAGCATTTGTTTCCTGGTGAAGAGGAGTTGATGCCCACAGCCTAACAACAAATGACAACGGTTACTGGATGTAGCCTTCAAACAAGCCACATCAGCCATTTTAATTTACATGTACACCATGTAAATAAGAATGCTAGGTCAAGCTGAACCCCCACAAAATGACTAATAATACATTTAAATACTACTTTTGCATCATGTTTTTCGACATTATATTCAGTTGTATATTCTACATTATATTCAGTTGTAAAGTATATATTTCTGCCATTTTGAAAGCCTGACTGTTGTAAAAAATCAATCAGTCTGCCATGGGGAAGGCTAAAGCAGGAAGAATGAATACTAATTAGAAATTGATGGAATGCTGCTTGCTTCATAAATACTTCAGTTGTACCCTCTGATTTACAACATGAGGCACCGCAAATTCCAATCAATCCAATTTACAAGCATTTCTGGCGATGCCATCATATTACTTGAACATTACTATACATGTAACCTACATTTCTGGTTAGCATATTCCACTGATGCTTTAATATATAGCTGGTTTATTTGCTCAATGCAGAAATATAAATTGAATTAACTACTTTATTTTGGTTACCATTGTTACTAAATTTATGTCAATTGACTTTTTATCACAATTAACTAATGTTTTTAACTCTCAGAATTTTAACTTAGATATCCAGTTTTAATAGCACTTGAAATGAATTTTTAAATGTTGTGATCGCCATTGCATGCACAATAAAACTCCTTGAAAAAAGGTTATGATTATATGCTATTAAACTTTCAATACAACGCTTTGTGTTTCAATTGTAGTTGGTTTATACACATCACAGAAGAACACTTTAAGACTTACTTGGTTTATTACATAGACCATTTTTCCAGAAAATAGAAGACTTTTATTTTAGATAATCCCATCTTATTTTAATATTACACCTCAATGGTCCTGTGCGACATTAGTCTTCTACTAATATGATTATTTTTGCTTTATGCATCATACCTAAGTGAAAAGAAGATCTAAGGTAATATGGTAACCCCATCCCTAACCCTTACTATAAACCCAACCCTAAAGCTACATCAACTCTAATTTATTAAAACCAATAAAACATTTTTAATTCAACTTTTAGGAAACTTACCTGGTCTGATATGCCTGGTGGTAGTTGCTGGTTCTGTTGTGTTACTGGACGAGTTGTTCTGCTGGGGCTGGGGCTCTGGTTCTGCAGGGGTAGAGACAGGCGTTTCAGGGGGTGGATCCTGGGGTGGCTTCGGTGTCCCGTAGTGGTTACCTGGAAGAAGGAAAAACAAAAAGGCTTGTTCAGAAATGCAGAAGTAACCGCAGCAGGTTACATGGCAACTGCATGCAACAAATGTCCTCAGTGTACCGGTATTCACTTACACTGTACATGTAGCTATGTATTTAAGATACATAAATGTGAACCCTATAACACTTACGTCATCATAAAAAAATCCTGCTGCTGTTTACAGAGGGATACATTTATCTGAATGTGACTTAAGAACACCAGGTACAAGCCATAAAAATATAGTAAATATTTAAGTACACTGTGGAAAATCTGACTGAAGAAACAACTCAACTTGAGCTCTCTGTTTCATACTTGCCACTCAGATCATCTATAATCACATTTTGGAAGTAAACGCTTTGCCAGCTTTAGTTGACTGATAGAACAAACCGTGAACTGGCACAGTCGACATTTGTTTCATCTAAAAGATATGGAACAATACTCCCAGCAATGTGGCATTCTAGGGGGTCGATGTGAGTGAAAAAAAGAGGTAATACTTTGATTTTCTCATCAAGTTATCATACTGTGAATAGAATTTCAAGAAGAATTTTTTTTTCTCTCTCTCCTTAGAGTGAATTAATAGAGCAGCATAATTGCGAAGTACATGTAGCACTAGTTCAATCAAAAGTCATCATAAGAAATACATATGACCTTTAGGAAAAGCTATCAATATCAATAAAAACTAATTTTGTGAGTCTGAGGTCAAATCTTTCAGATTGCAGCACACGCAGTAGGCCTAAATGGTAAGTGATTATGATGGTGATTTTAAATACGAGCTTTATTAGTACTGGGGTTTTTCTTCCTAAAAAAGAATAAAATAATGCTCTTTACTCAAACTGTTTAAAGTGGCCTTTCCATTGCATTCTACTGATACCTTACTCATAATGAGTAGTTAATTTGTAATACCTTCAATTTATTATGACTTGAATGGTTTGAATACAAGAAGGAAAAAAGAAATATTGAATAAGATCTATTTTAAGTTTCATCCTGCTATTCTGATGATGCGCATTATGCATCTTATATTTTTTCAAAGATGGCTGCCATTTTCATTTTGCATGGATCAGTCTTCTGCTTCTGGCCAACATTTTGAAGTCAAAAAAATCTTTTCAGAGAAATGGAAAAAGGCATAGCAAAATATTTTCATAGGCGCACTTCCACAGTCAGAGTATTTTTTCATTGTGAAAGCCTCTTTTTTTTGCACAGGTAAAAAAATTGTTGTACAGCTGAGAAAATGTACATGTATATGGTAATCTAGCAGATGTGATACTAAAATGAGGTATGGGGTCTTGTTGGAATACCCTGAGGGTCGAGGCATTAATATAATTTTACATGAAAATCCAATATTGGCAAAAACCTCTCAAGACAAATGCTCTTCATAGACACACTCAATATTTATAAGTGCGTCTAAATATAATCTCCTACCGGTAATTGCATTGTCCAGTTTCCGGCTCATACTTCTAAGAACAATATTTTTTATTGGCAGGAGAAGTAACTAGCTTTCAAATATACTGACAAAAGCTAGCTGCAGACAGAATGAAACATAGGCGTTCAAGGCAACGTCCTTTTGATCTAATAATGTGATAGAGACAGAGAGAGAGAGAGAGAGATACTTCCTATGCACAATTACCTCCACTTTTGAATTTGTCTAAATGCAAATCTTCCATGTATCAAGTAACATTACATTGCATGCCAGGCTGGAAACACACATGTGTGCATCTACTAATTAGAAGAGCCCAAACCATGAAACAGACAAACAGATGGAAGCTAATGTGATTTTGAAGCTCTTCCAGCCATCTTTTGGCCCAAGGAAAGGCAAGGATGCAGTCTTGAAACCACTGATAGTCTATGATACTTGTCTGTACGGTATGCACAGACTCCAATTTAATACATAGATTTCATAACTTGATCCAATCATACAGTGTAGCTCAACAATGTGCCTGCAAATCTGTATATGGTGAGATCTGGGGCCCGTCTTATAAAGAATAGTTATTGATCAAAATCAATCGAAAGTCCTCCAATCAATCGCAAGTTTGCAGTCCCAATCTCTTATGTACAAAGTTGCGATTGATATCAATCACAAATATGTTACAATTAATATCAACTATTTATAAGACCCCCGATTTACATTTTACAATTAGGCTATATATTCCAAACAGTGATCTTTCAAATTTTACCCACTGAAATCTACAAAATACATTTCCTGAAGAGTCTTAGTCTTAGAGCGCGTTTATCTAGGCTTGCCACTAGATATGTACATATCGTACCCCACTATCGAACCCCACTATCATACCCCACTATACGATCGTGATTTGCGGGATGTCGCGTTTATCTACTCTTAAAGATTCAATATAAAGGCCTTGTGTCTGCCCAGCTGTTTTGACCCGGGAAGCAGACAGTTTCTCGGAGGTCAAATTCACACACATGCTTGTACACAACACCTGTGTGGTCCTATTTGTATGTGACGTTCAAAACAGCTTTGCGTTTATCGACCTCTCAGAAACGTGATTCTGGCTGTATGTCACATACAAAACGCACCTTTTTGCGTCTTTTGATATGCCCATATCTAAAGACGTTTGAAAAAGGCTTTGCGTTTATCTACTTCTAAATTTGCCTGAAAGACGTTTGAGAAACCTGATTCTAGCCAAAAATTTCCTAGATAAACGCAACCTTAGAGAATACTGGTAATATATATTTTGAGCAGGATCATTATAGAGAGCATATAAAAAGGCACACATGATTCATGTAAGCTTAATGCATCAACAAAGAGACAATTAGAAAGTTTTGCTACGTTCCTAGATGCAGGGTGAATTGGTTTCACTTTGCCCGAGATACTAAGGAAAAATGTCCCTGAATGATCTTGGAGGCATATTTGTGATATGGCCAATAGGTTGGAACTAGGTTGACAAAGGTCACCTGACAAAATCCTCTGGAATGTTTGAACTTCTGGTACCCCTAACAACATGTCTGAATAGAAATACCAAGATGCACCAAAAGAAATGCAGACCAAGATGAATGAAGGAAATGAGATCACTGATACAATAATAGGAGTAAGTGGTTTTGTGTGATGTCAGAAACAGCAGACATATGGTCCGTCAATGAACTTGTCTGTGAGTACTTTAGGCTGTTTGCAGTCCAAAGTACATGTCTGTATGCCCAAATGTGAGAAAATGCACGTCAACTTCGTCAAGTAAGCTAAAATTAATGCAAAGATTAAAAACATGATGTACTTGAAAGTCAGTGTTTATTTTATTTCACATTTTGATTTGTAGAGGAAGTATCACTGCAAAACAATCACCGAAAGATATCTAGGCTATATCAGGGGAATCTGGGGGGTCGATCTGAGCTTCGATTATCGTTCATCTCTTTTAGAAACAATTTATAGACTGCACCCGTATAATTAAATGCATATATTTACAATTTCATAATGCATCAACAGCACTCATATATATTCAACATCATATACAAACAAACATGTGAATTACCTTGAATGGGTCAGACCTGGTATCAACATAAACTCATACAGCATCTCACCTCAACCACTGCATTAACGCATGCCAACACTAGACAGACACCAAGAATTGTAGCTGTCTCGTTGACCTGAGAAATCATGCTTCATTCACTAGTATTTTTTCCTACATGCTAGATGCTACAGTAGAAATAACTGCTCACTCATGTTGAGTGAAGGATTGATGGCTAGTTAATACTCATAATTCCAAAATCATGCTCAAAAGGTTTCTTGATTGTATCTTCAACCTTGGCAGCTAGAGTACTAGAGGTATAGAGAAATGGCATTGCCGTTGCATCAATACAGCTCAAGCAAGCGTACACAAAAGGCAATTTCTGTTGGAAGTGATGTTGAAGGGTGCCCTGATATGCAAATAATTGCAGTATTCAATTCCTTTTATCAAGATGAAATGCAATACATTAGAGGGGTGTGCACATTTGTGAGTGTATTAACAAGTCAATGGTGGAGCTAGCTGCGGCTTCGCCTGAGCCTGAGGCGATATCGCTTAGACCATGGCCCCTTGCTCAGACACAATACGTACAGAATGCCAGAGAATGGATACGTGGGATCGGCTTTTTGAAAAGTAACAATGGCTCAGAGATGCTTTAGATGTTGGATGCATATTCAAATGGAACGCCAAAAAAAATCAAAGTATGATTTTATTTCTTCTTAAATTCTGGAAGAATACATCTGAAATCCAGGGTACGGGAATCAAATTTTGTTTTGTTATTACCGGTATGCTTTTTTGTGATTGTTCCCGACATTCAAAATCAGCCAATGATATCTTAAATACCGGTTCGGTGTAACCGATGATATACAGGTACATGTACTCAAACTCTATAATGGTACCCAACCTTGCTTTCAAACTTTCAAAGTAGCCAATTAGTATTTTCTTCTTCCCAACACAAAATATCAAAAGATATTATAATTAGCCTAACTAGCACTAGACAGAAAAATGAGAAGCATGAAATTGCCTAACTTTCCTGTTTCATATTTTCAGAAAGAACATATATTCAAAATTTCAAATCAAGTCTGACCCCCCCCCCCCCCACACACACACACATACTTTGATCCTTCTTGTAAATCTCCTAATTTAGTTTACTTGCTATGTGTCTTTAATAGAAGGAATTAATGCTCCCGAACTTGTCTGTGAATTGCAGTCTCAAGTATATTTTTGTATTTTTTGGTATGCTTAGTGTTATAATGCAGTCGACAAACTTTGTTGCTCATAAAGTTGGAATAAATTATCTTACCTCTCATTAAATCCTTGTGACAATATTATTCATTATTGATAGACAAAATTAATATCTTCTCGGAACTCTGTTGATCAATCTCTACGGCTCTTCTGATTGATAAAAAATAAAGTTCTGAGAAGGTAAAAACTTTATCTATCAAGAATGAATAATATTCTCACAATTGCTCCATGATAAGAAGTTTTAAAAAAAAATATTCAAACTCTATGGGAAACAGTATACTGTACATCAAGTTATAGAAATGGAGAGCATACAACGTTTGTTATCAAACTCTGATTGAATGCTCTCAAAATAGCAAAAATGTGGTTTCAGTTTCATTAATGTTACACCTCCAATTTGCTATGAAACAAGGTATCCCAGAACGCTATACACATTGATGAACAGAATTTCAAATAATTTATCTAATGGAGAAGGTGCGACTCAAACCCTCCTATTATGCGAGGCTTATCTTCAATGAATAGGCAACAAAGCGGAAATACACCCAAAAATATACCGTACACATTTACAACTCATGGTCATAAATAGTTAAAACTACCCTACACTGTGATTGTGATTATCAAGAAGGAAATGCTACAATGCAAATATACAAACTCCAAACTCACCAATGGATATGGGCTACTAATCAAGAATTATCCACCTGTACCACTCACATAAATCAGTCCCTTTATAACGAGATATAATCAGAGCAGTTTCAAATTGGAGTCCAGTCCTTGTATACACGCACTTGAACAACACGCAGCAAACAACGTCACACTATAATAAAGAGGCCGTCACGCATCCGTTTCTCTGCAAATCATTTCCAAAGAAATAGTTTTCCCATTCAATTAAACAAAAGGTCCCACCAACCGAATATCTATTCATGGAGTTTTTCACAAAAAAGCAGACTCTTTCAAATGGAAGGTCATAACATGTGATCTAAATGGCATCTCTCAACCAACAATGACACGAATCAAGGCTGTGGCTTCATGGCATAAAGCATAGAAAACCTATGATGACATGTCAACAAAATATTTTAAGCAATGTTGACTGTAATTTTAACTCTCTCAGTGTTGATGGATGTTGATGGATGTTCAGGAGGCAAACAAAAAGTGTTCTGCAATTGAACTTTAAACTTGCTGAATCAATGTCACAAGTGCCTTCAAAATATCATTCAGACTTGTTTATAAATCAGGAAGCTATTTTTGGTGCTGGTGCCTTCTTTGTTTCCCTTAAACTTTTTTTTTTCATTTTCTACTGACAAACATCCCACCTAGAAGAAAAAAACAGTAGACAGTATCAAGAGTTCATGTGTAATTGTTGTAGTTGTTATTACACTAAGCATTGCTAATCAGTCGTCTGTTCCTATTGTCTATTTAACATGAATGTTTTCAGAATAATTGTAAATCTGTACAGGACCATGTCATTGGTGAGTATGCATGACTTCCCTTCTGAAGAAGGTTTCCATACTTTACATTCCTGTCTTGTTTTTCATAGTGTCTTTGGACCCCGACTGAACTTACACTTGTAATTTGTTTTTAGAGTTTATTTGAAATTTTGAACATCCATTAAATTTTCATTGTACCACATTGCCTTTGTATTTTTTTTCTTCAGTTATTGACATGGGCCGAGTTATAAATAAATAAATAACCATGTCCAACTAGAAAAATAGAAAATTTGCTGAATCCTTAACAATATTTTAAATAACACTTCTCTCAATCATGATTTCAATTGCTGGCCGGCAGACTCCTTATTTCTATAGGGATGTATAAAACAAAATGTTCACACCATCACAGAAGTATTGAAAAGAATGAGATCCTGAAGTAAATTTAATTCCTAAACAAATGGCTACTACTACCCTCTCCCAAAGAAAAAAAGGAAAGTAATGAAAAATAGCCTCCATAGGTCCGTCTTCACTATCTCGAGATTGCCAAATATCCAGCTATTTGAACTATCCCGATCGCAAACTATCCAGCTATTTGCGTCTTCATTAGACCGAAGTAGCAAATTAGCTGGATAGTTGGTCGGGATAATATCCCAAGATATCTCGATCTAGTTTGCAAAATATCCCACTATTTCCGAACTAGCGGGATAGTTTGCGACCGTCTTCATTAGACCGAAGTACAGAGTCAAATATCCCGATCCCATCATGCACAACGATTTCCGGTTCGCACATGCGATCTATACCTCCAGTAAACACGGAAAACCGGAAATCGTTGTGCATGATGGGATTGGGATATTATCCCGACCAACTATCTAGCTAATTCGTACTTCGGTCTAATGAAGACGCAAATTAGCTGGATAGTTTGCGATCGGGATAGTTTAAATAGCTGGATATTTGGCAATCTCGAGATAGTGCAGACATGCCTCATGGGCAAGTTTCTCAAAACCATCCAAAATCTAAGTTCATGGACATCTAATTGAAACGAGTGTATATTTTATTTAAAAAACACATTTCTATGAGATGTCCAAGAACTAAGACATCTGGCAGTTTTAAAAAAAACATGCCCCTGGCAGCCAAGACAAGAAGATTTGTACATCTGGCCGCAAATACCTTCAAAAAGACCACTTTCTAGTAGGTGACCACTCTTTTCCAGAGCCAGGAACTCATCTACGGAGAGGAACTTGTAGTCTACACCATTCACCTCTCCTTCCCTCGGAGGTCTCGTTGTACCTGGAGAAAGAGGAAGATTAAAAGAGATGGGGACAGAAGTTGATTAGAAAAAAAATCATTGGGTTAAAAAGGTCACTATTTAGAGACATGAAACTGCATAGAGTATTAGCATAACACCTACAAATATGTGTAAATAGGTGTGAATACTTTAAAAATCAACAATAACAATAGCATTACCTAATAATCAACACCAAGACACAAACCTTCTATTGGAATTGTTGAATAAAATGTTGGTTTGACCATGTATTCAATCACCTACAAATGTGTATAGAAAGGTGTGAATACTTAATTTTTTTTTTAATATAAAAAATATAAAAAACAGCGTTAACTAATGATCAACACCAAGACTTACATGTAGTTAAACCTTCTATGGAATTGTTGAATAACATACTGGTATAGCCATGTATTAAATCAGTGAATACTTTTCTACACGCACCTTTAATTATTTATAAATCTCAAAGGAGTCTACGCTCAATTTACTTTAATCAAGTACTAGGTTAAGCATGTTACTCTGAGGGTTAGATACCCTCCCTTCTATTTCCCAAGTGAAGCAAACCATGCCAAGAGTCAAACAACTTAAACCATGCACTGTATGTTTAACTGCACACAATATTGTTTGGCTGAGGGCTCGTGCAATCAATTTCACAATATTACCTTCACTTAATCTAGATCTATAAGTTAATTCAGGTTTTTTGTTCAATTTTTAGAAGGCTCTGACTCTGCTGTGAACCGATATTAAGATCTTTAAACTTCATGTGATCATTGTATCATTTGCATTAAATGCAGAGATAACAAACTACGGGACTGAGTGTCTTTAGAAGTTTAAGAGAATGGGGGCTCTCTGATAGTCCCTCCATGATCTCAGAGTTCTGTGAAGTTTAGCTTGAAAGTATCAACATTTCTGCATACACCTCTAAAAATTATGAAAGGGACAAGACGGCAGAGTCATTTTTGTTGAGAAATATCAATTTCAAAAGTTATCACAATTTATGCAAATTACATTCATAAACAGACTAAAATTAAATTAAAATAAAGTAATAAATCAATCAAACAATCAAAGAGTAGCATACTAAAGCTTTACATTTTGTTCCTTTAGCTTCCGCTAGTTGTTTTGTCTGATTTCGTCTTTCTGTTCGTTATTGTGATTTACTCCGATGAGTGCAAGACAAAAAGCTTTACTACGTCTGTATTCATATTTCGTTGCTATTCTTCGATTCTGTAAACAAATGAATAAGTTATCTTAAATAACTTTACACCCGGACTTTGTTAATACAAAATTCAAAAATGTTGAAAGTAGTTTTTGCATTAGTAACTGAAATATTTTTTTGCCGCTTGTGCTCTGTAAATCAATACAAATGAGGAGCTGGAAACAACATAACCTGGAAATGTGAAGCACACTTTGCCCGTTTGTAATTTCATTTGCCACTGATATTTCAATGCAGTTATTCAATGCAGTTATTCAATGCAGTTATTTATGATGTACAATGTAAAAATAAGGCTTCAGGAATTATATCGGTAGAGAGATACCCAGTTGATAAGCTTGGCTTGGGTGAGACTTCATGTACATTGGACATGAAGGAGAGATTTAATGCATTCATGTAGAAAGGGAGGATTTACATATATTTATAAAAAGTGTCACAGCATCTTACTTTATTGTATCACCATGGAAATATGAAGAACTATCCAATCCATAATAAATCTGGGATTTCCTGGATTTAATGTTTTAATGTACCAGCAGTAGCAGTTGTCAATCAAATATGCATGTGTATCTTCTCAACTGATAAGATCTTTGATTTTTCGGGCACACGAAATCCAAATACTTGGTTTCTTTCATAATATGCTAATCTTCCTTGATGTTTAGCTACTGTTGATGTATAAAGTAAATCACAGCTAATAAAAATGAAAATCCAAATAAACAGATTTTTAGGGCGATCATATGCGTATAGTACTTTAAACACCAATTTGCTTTTGTTTAGGCCTGCATTACTCAAGACCCTCAAATAAGTCAAATTTGTTGATTCTTGAAGCATTTTGTGATAAATATGGGACATAGAATTTTAGTACTAATACATGTACATGTACATGTTATATGGATTGTCCACATGCACTTAAAAGTCTAAGTGGGCCTTGCTAATGGCCCATATAGATGTACACTAATACTACAGGGGTCCAAAATGGGCTTTTGCATTAAATATTTATCTCTGACATCTAATTGAGAAATTTACAGATTTTCAATCTGGATGCTATGTGGTAAATCATTGGTATTGAATGGTATACATAAATAAACAATCCCACATGTTGTACAGAGTGATAGTAAACAGTGATTTTGTTTTGTCTGGAAGTTATCCATCTGAAATAGTCAAACTGAAGAAAACAACCATGAAACATCCAGATTCTAATACCGGACAGGGAAAGTCGAGAGTGAGTGAGATAGGAGAAAAGAGAATTATATAAAGAATTTGGAGGTGAATGACTTGAGAGGATTTATAATGAGATAAGTGTACCACTAACACATGCCTAAGGTCATTTTCTAAAGCCAGATAATGTTGAGGAGGGTCACAGGCGCAAATGGAGTACATGAAATTATGTCAATGTTCAGTTCATAAGCACCACGACTGGTAATACAGGGAGTGCGTTTTTTTTAAATATGATATGAATGGCTGGTAGAGACCTACAAAATGGTAAATTCCCCTGTGTTACTGGTTAACATGTACATGTACATGTAGGCGAAATGGGCGTTGGCTGAAAGCTTTCAACATCCTCATGCATTTACATAAGGATTACCCTTCATGTCATCAGGAGCGACAGTGAATTTTAAACGAGGATGTAAAACAAACTGAAATACCCCCCCCCCCCCCCCTCTCCAAAAAAATAATAATAATAAATTGAATTACTTCAAAATTGCACTCCAATGCAGAACCCAAAAGTGGGTGGAAATGAGCCTATACTGCCTTTGGTCTTTTGAGTGGGTCCAAGATGCCAGTGAGGCACATAGTTGACATACCATAAATAATCTTTCAGATTTTATTTCCCTGGTTTCCAACCCATACAACCAATCCTACTACAGTAATACTACAACTCAACTTTCTGTATTTTTTTTTTTTATATGAATACAATGTTTCAGCATCTTTTAGCATGTCTTGAGTTTCCCAAAACTTTTAAAGAGATTTTTCCAGGTTGAGTTATGAACCAGTATAACCTATTGATTTTGTTCGCATGTAGGCCAATACATGAACTGCTTCCACTGATTCTTTGACACTTTAATCAGAACTCTACATTTAACCTTGATGCATATTTTTATTGTAAAACTAAGCCTTACATGAACACGTATGTGCTATAAAGAAAGAACAAAAATGATAATGAACATTGGCCTAAAATTCCAATATTAAAAGTTTGAGCACATTTAAACATAAAAAAGAAAAAATTCTTCAATAACTTGGTAAAGCAACTAAGGCTATTAATTGAATTTAATCCTCAAAGAAAACCTTTGGGTACAATGGAGCTGCAGCTAATGATCTGGCTGATCTAGAGCTGCACCTCAATGGCACAATAAAATTATGACCTCTGACCTCCACCTACACGTACTACATAACCTTTGACATTGTTTTTCCTCAAAACTTTACTTACAAGGCACTGTGCGAACATAGAGATTTTCCCTGATGGTTTGCTGTAGATCATGGTCTGGTGATCCCTTCGGCATGCGCATGGTCAGGTACCGACGTAAGTCCTTTGGAAGATTTTGACCTGATGGAAGATAAAAAAAGGGAAAGTGAATGAAAAGAAGTCAATATGAATGTATGAACACATGGGTTATTTTTATGTACATGGAGGGAACATACATGTATTTATGTGAGTTGGTCTAGCAGTCTGGTCAGCTATCTGCCTAAATTGCTTACAAAGTTATTCAAACATCTCCATGGTTAGAAAGCTGAGTAAAGTCTTTTGGATAAAGATGTTATATACATGTACATGTATGTAGAACTGTAGGTCGGTCCTCAGATGTAAATAGTCATAATCATATCTAATTGACATGGTTTATATCTGAAAAAAGTCAATAATACTTGTACCCACATGCACACACTTTCCTCTAAAATAACTGCTATATATGGAAGCCAAGAGTATGAAACTATGAACACAAAAAACAGACAATATACAAGATAAAAAATAAACGAGGCAAGGTCAAATTTAGAAAACTGGTCCGAAAGTCCATGTAAGGCTTCCCAACTAATTTTCAACCCAATATCCACATTAACACAGATTACTTTCTTGAATTGCCATGGTAACCAAAAGAACCCCCAGGATTTAAGTTAGGGAGAGTTCGAACACGATCTCTGATTTACATCAGGTTTCAGGCTCTGACCTTTCGGAATCCCACAAAATCCCTACTAATTCATGCAAATTTGACCACATGAAGAATTATAGCCCTAGAGCTTAAGCCTGCATTGCTCAGGTGCTAGGTGTTAGCAAGTTTACGCTCTCTCTCTCTCTCTCTCTCTCTACATTTTAACACATTTATAAGGAGCAATTTTTCACACACTGTAGACTACAGACCAATTATTCATACTCTGCAGCCTGTCGCCATAAGCCAAACAAAAATCTTTAAAATATATATGATCTAAGGACATGAATATTCATATACATTGTACCAGTAAAAAAAAATTGTCATGTACATGTACCAACAAATATCTAAGTTAAAAACTTACGAACATGGTGCAGGTGTCATCTTTCCAAAGACTGTTCGGATGCAAAGATCAAACTGTATTCGTATTAATCAATGCCTTTCCTGATTGTTAGTACATGTACTGTATACTGGTGTAAATTAAAGAAGGATAGACCCAAGTTTTTAATCTCTTCACCCTTTTATCAAAGCGAAATAAAATCAGAGTACACATACATTATATGTCATAGCTACCAATTTACCAAACATGGTAAAACTAGGCAACATTTTCAAAATTTTGTATTTTTCATTTGAATCATTAAACCTGTACTTTGTATACCATTGTAATTAGGTTTTTGAGTACCCAAATAAAAAAAAAGAGAACAAACAAGGTTTCTCATAATAAAATGAGAATTTATTGTAAATATGCATCTCTAATAAACCTAATAAATAACATGGTACGTGGTATCACTGTCACAGTACTTGTGTAGAACTGTAGATGTATTTAAAATACTAAATCAATCCTGGAATGTAGACTACTGGTAGATAGAAATAATCTAGGGCAATATGATATTTATAAGCCCTATTAATCAGCATGATATGTGGATAATTCACAAACAAACAGGATTTGTCACAGTCCTTTGGTAGAATAACAGAGATAATATGAATCATATGAGAGTATGAATCATGTACAAGTGCATGAATCGAATTAAAATAAGCTCATCATGTACTCTGAATATCAACAGGTGAGAGTTACACAAAGACACACAATGACGTCAAAAAAGTGTGAATATAGTTATTTTCATGTACATGTAGTCTGTGCAGCCTATTTTTATACTGCTACTCAATTTAGAAATTCTGTAATTCATTATATCACTCCCTAGTCGAAAGGGGTGGTCATTATTAACCTGTGACCTGTATTACACATGTACATGTACTTGTTCAGATCTTATTCATAAATTGCTCAAAAGAATTCTAGTTCTCCTGTCATATTTGGACAAATTCAAAAGCTTGATATGTAAATACACTGTACATTGTGTAAACAGTGTAATTATTACCATTGCTCTTGTTAAGGCCAGCAATGCTCAAGACCCTAAAATCAGTCAAATCTACTGAATCTGGAAGCGTGTTGTGAGAAATATTGGTCTGATTTATTTCATACTTTTGCCATTCTGTTGCAAGGATATTCCTGCATTCATTCAAATGAACTCATTACAACTTTACAAGGGTTGGATAGCCATTTAACTTTTGTACAACTGAACCTGCACAAGAGCACATCTATTAAAGGGATCGTTTAACAATGTTAAATCTGAGATACACGGCCCTATGTGTTATCAGTGTCTGTTATATGGTGTTATATTGAAGCCTTAAAAAAATTGCGCTTCAAAATGATCAAGAAGTGCATCAAAAAAGTAAAAATCTTTGAGTGACCGGTTTTACCATACTCATTTTCCCCAATAGACTGTAGTGTTATGAAAACCGTCAGGCAGGTTTTCAAAATTTGTAATTCCAATCATAAATATCTTGATAATCAGACAGGCGATCGGCTTGTAAAAGTCATGGGGTTCCTGACTGACCTACATGTAAAGGTTTATATTTATCATTGCATCATGAGCTAAATCCAGAATTTTATTTCAGAATCTGAGACAAAGTTACCGGATCCCTTTAAGTATACCATCAATAAAATAGAGAACATCCTTTTCATTCAATTTTCATTCACAAGTCTAACTTATAAACAGTCCAAAACCTTTTAAAATGAATCACACTGTAGAATTAATATGTACATCAGGATCTTCACACATGTTAAAACTGATGAGTGAAAGTGCCCCTGTGAAGTGACAGAGAACCATCATGAGGCCTGTTTTCATTAGCTCGAGATTGCCAAATAACCCGCTATTAAAATATCCCGATCTCAAATTATCCAGCTAATTTGCGGAGTAGCAATTAGCAGGATATTTGGTCGAGATAATCATCCCAAGATATCTTGGGCTAGTTTGCAAAATATCCTGTTATTTGGCAAAATTTCCTGCTTTTTGTCCGGTGCAACTTCACCAGCCCCAAGACTCGCACTATGGGCAAACGCTGAGCAAAATATCTCGAGCTCAAGTTTCAAGTTTTGAGGTCGAGTCTCTAGCTGATGAAGACGCGATTTGTAACTTCAAGCTTATTTCCCAAATCAGAAATAGCGGGTTATTTGGCGATCTCAAGCTGATGAGGACATACCTATAGATAGACAGCTTGACTCATCAAACAAATCTTCAGTGTTAGAGCAGCAAGTATTTCCTCATCTCTAACTTCATCAAAGCCACCAAGATGAGTTAATAGCACCACACCCAGATGTTAATTACGGACATGTACATAATAGGTCACAATTAGCAGTAAGTGTCAATAGCCCGACAAGATTGGCGTTTTGATTTATTAGCCAGCTGACTGAACACGATGGATGCAAATATAATCTACCGTACATGTACTCTACATGTCTGACAATGAGCCAGCAATGTCTTTATTTATTTTAACCTACAGTTTATATCAAGCATTTCCAGATCACAAAACTGTTTACCAATGACTGTGAATGGAGGCCTACATAAAAATGAAGCCTAAAAGTATAGGTACATTACAGTATACATGTACATTACGGTACATGCACAGTACATGGTAGGCTACAGGTACAGACAGAATGATCTACATGAACAGGATTCTGTACATACAACTGTAGGCAAGAAATCCAAGTATTGGGATTTATAAGTAACATCATACATCATCTAAACTTGACATTAAAATATGAACCTTTTCCACACAATCTATTCTTATCACAAATGTACACTGTAAATCTACAATACAGGTACCTGGACTACATGTACAAATGAACATCAAACATGTGTACACCTAGTCATCCATTATGATCAATATGACAAGTCTTGATTGGGACACACCCATCAAAATACATAATTTTTCCAACCTACATCATCAGTCATCCATACCAGGCAGAGTGATTTTGAGCTAAAATTTCAGTCGACAGAAATATTGGATCATGATTAGTCATACAGTACATATATATACCGGTATGGCCTGGTATGGTCTGACAATTGCTTTTGTGTGCTGTCAGCTGCATAAGTTCTGGTAATGTAATTACATTATATTTGAGATATTTGAGATGAAGTGGCATATATATCAAATAATTCTGACATGAATATTACTGCATGGCATGCAGTTTTGTTGTTATGAACTGTTGATTAAACCTGAAATGAACCTATAAACAAATCAGCAAAAACTGCTGGAAACCATATTTATGACATGTTTTATTTCTACACTAAATGGGGACATAATCACAAAACAAAATCAATTTCTGTGACTCAAATCAGAATTTCATGAATGCCAATTCATGCTTATCCCTAATCCCTTTCTTCACACCCTCCCCCTCCCCCTCTTCCTGAATGTACACTTTGGTATTGTATTCCAATAGAAGAGACAAATCTGGCATAGAGGACCTGATTCATGATATGAATAGAACCATAAGCCCATTTCTTTTTGTTCTCTCCCAATAGGCCACTCCCTCCCCACTATGAATGACTCTTCCTCCTTGCAATGAATATGACACAGAATTACTACCTCCTCTAATTTATGTAGACTACAGAGGTGGGAGTTTCAAAAGTACACTGTGCCTACACATTGTATACCGGTAATAAAAAACAGTTCCTTTGTGGACTGACTGTACTGTCAACAGAGTGTGTCATTCCCCTTTCAAACACTGCCCTACACTTCTTTCATTGCTTACGGGCTCAGTAACTTTCAATGGAAGCTTTCAAATTCAACTGAAAACACTCCCCCTGATTTTGAAGTTTCAAACGGTAACAATTCAGAAAGTACACTGGCCCATTGCCTATCGTGGCTCATAAGGGGTGTAAGACCAGCGTTTCATGAAGCCATCAGAAGTACAGTTCGCTGACATCCCAATGAAGCATGTACATGGGATGTCGGCAAACTTATACAGCGAACAGGGTACTTATGGCAGTTTTGTGAAAAGATATCCTGATGTTTAAAGATGAAGTTGAGTTCTGGTCATGTGATTGCATTGTGAAAGAAACGG